AGTAGTCGTTCGTTTGTTTCCGGCCAACAATTAAATTTCTGGTATACGTACAATGACAGTGTCTAAGTAACGTTAAATAAGACTTAATGTAACGTTTGATCAGAATGTTACCGGTGACAAGCTGTAACAGCACTCAATACACTTATAAAATCAATACTCCTGTATAATATCCGGATAATTACAAAACAATGGAAAAAGACTGAGCTGAGTAGCTAGTAAAGGTCAAAAAAGGGCGTGGTAATAGACAGTCAATCTGTTCCTTTGGCCTGTATCTATGTCTGCGTTAAGATTGTAATATTATAAATAATTTTTTATTGTACTCGCACATATATGCACAGTTATCTATTAGTTACAGTTACTTCCCGATGTGTACTTAGCAACCATTTACCCACGACTTCGCTCCTATTGATGTCCTAAATACCTGTCAAAAATTATCGAAAATATAATAATTTGGTAAATTTGTTCTTCAAGTCCTGACCTGGATCATCAGGATAAAATTAAAATTTCAAATTTTCTAGGCTAAACATACAGTAAATACTGACCTTCTTTATCGAGATGAAAAGAAATTTTTCTATCCCTCTATAACAGTATTTTTTTCGGGATAAAAGGACCTTATGTCCCTTTCTGTACCCACAATAATGTGTGTGCAAAATTTCTTGGTGATGGGTTGAGTGGTTAAAGTGTTAAATGGTAATAAACAAACAAACTCACATTCGCATTTATAGCAATAGTTGAGACGATTAAAATTTTCAAAGTCTTTAATTAATTATCTGTGAGAATGGATGTATCTTCTTTCTTGTTTCCACTTGTTTGACTGTAGTCATTTGCTGCGTTTCGAACAAGCCCTTGTTAAGTTAGGAAATGCTTCACAAGTGAAAAAAGTTAATCGAGAAATAGTAAGCGGTGCAGCGGTTAGAGGCTGCTTAGGTACTCAAAAGATCAGGGTCGGCTTTATAACTACCTGGTTGTCTTTGTTTTCTTAAATTCCTGAGAATGGTGAACTTTCTTGAAAGTCCGATGCTGGCAACATCCTCAAATTCTATTTGTGTGCATCTCTTTCTGTTACACATCAGTTGGTGTAATGTTATTCCTTTTTCTTTTTTAGTGTCCGCTGCAATTCCTACCTGGCATCTCTTTTCTATACAACGTCTGTTGTGATTAAATGTAGGCGTTCTGTCAACAACCGCTCTATTCTAACTAGTAATAAGTTGAAAGAAGAAAATAATACAGTTTTATTGCGAACTATACCGAAATTTTAATATTTTGAGCACTTTTTTAACTACAGAGTTCAGAATGGGTCATTGACCATTCAACGAAAATTGAACAAAAAATATTTGAAGAATAAATCAGAAATTATTGGCCCATTGTATAGATACGTCAAACTTCCATAAATAATATTTTTGTACCGACTTTCAGCGACTTCTTATGAATCTACCAGTCTGCTGCAGCGTCTTAATAATAAAACAGTTGAAAAACGACGCAGCATGCATGCGTCTTCCGACGCCACAGAGAAGATATACGAAAGCGTAATCCTGATTTATAATGGTTTACTTAATAATGTTTTTGTTGTTTTTGATTTGTTGTACCCTGCTACTACAGCAAAGCAACAAATAATTTGACATGCCTTCAGTATGCGTTATGCAACATTTTTCGGAAAACAAACCTGAATGTACACGATAATTAAAATTTAATTTGTTTGCACACAAGAAGGTATAGATACATATATTAATTGATTCTGAAGTTATAATAATAAAGTGTCCTTAACGAATTACCAAGTGAGCGCGTTTGTCTGGGTCTAGGGCACTTGAAGTGTTGCTGTGGTGTATGACGTAGGAATTTGACCTTTAAATTGCTCTAAATATGGATTTCATGATCCACTGGTAGTTTTATTTGCCACCCACAAGACAATTTCAGAGGTGGTTGTACCTGATTTTTTAACACCCACCGTTGGGTTCGTACAGTTTTTCTTTAAAAACTGTCGCATTAGAAAATTTAGAATGCAGATAGTTATAATAGAGCAAGCGCAGGTTTTAGGTGGGTTTCATGAGTCACTCGCGAGTCCATTTCTTTCGCCTCGAATGTGGGAAGTGTGTTGAGAACCGAAAATTACATACTAGGCTACAGTTATTATTTATTATAATTACTTATATCGAAAGCACTTAGTACATACATACGGCCAACAACGAGATCGGCCGGATAAAAAGGTTTACCTTGCACTTTTAGTGGGTGCAATGCATAAAAGATGACGTAAGTGAACACAGATGTAGATGTTGTAGCTGGATAAATTGAAGGCGGTTCGGTGGTGAGTGCAGAGATAATGAAGAATTCGTGATCACCCCGTTTTCAATTTTTTTAACTAACGAACATAAATACACGTAGTTATGTATATTAAATTAATTGCATGACTAATTCGGAATTACCTATATAATGATAATAATACAAACCCACTATAGTAGCTTACAGTTAATGTTAATGTTAACTTTACAGCGGATTTACCTTTGTTAAAATGATTCTAAAAATTTCTTTCTTTCAAATGAGACACAGTAACGCATTAGTGAATTAATTTTTTGAAATAACATTACCCACTACAGATAATAAAAATTGATGTTGCTGTCCGGAAACTCGAGCCTTGTCTACTGTCTACGTCACCTCCTCGTAGTTTTGTGGCAGAATACTGGCGCGTAAAACCATGCCCGTCCGGGTTCGATTCCCGGCGAGGGAGTGACAGTAAAAACAATTTTTTCTCATTAATTTGAGGTTTTTTGTAGTAGACAGGTAATGTTAATTCAGTGATGCATTAAATTAAATCATACAAAAATTGATTCTGTCTCAAGGCACATTAATGTTGAATAGTATAGATATATGAGGAACGAAAAGGGGAAATTTATGGTACGGATCTATCTGCCTGCGGATCTAACCGACCTTTGCCCAATTTGTTTTTTCACACGATCGATGGAATTCTACCAAATTAAGTTGTGAGACGATTGAGTAAAATACATGCATACATACATACATATAAATAAATAATAAATACGTGCATAACTGTATGCACACCCACCTATGGGAAAGCAAGTCATTACCTACAAAACGCGTCAAGGTTTACTTTGATCTTTTGCCTTCTACTGGAGAAAGACGCATGAGCTAATTCGATAAGAAACCATTTAAATTCCTATGGATTATACATCACAGTATAAAAATTAGAGACGATAAATCGACATTTAAATTTTACAGATGTTTCCTACAATTGCAATTACAATTAATAATAATAATGATACAATTAAAGTATACTAAAACGAACTAACTAACCAGTATTACGGTTAAATGGGCGGATGTATAGTTTATGACACATGTCTGAAGTTAGTTACTTAAAATGACAACCTTTGCAGTACTGCCAACGTTTAGTTCTGACAGATATGCTAAGTTTAGGACAACGCGAACGTAGTTTGTTTAGTCTTAGTTGCGTATTTATGTTGGCAGCATTGCAATATTCGTAGTCAACTTCAAGGGAGGCGTCATAAACTACATTTTTACCTCTAAACGTTAAGAGTAACGCGTCTAATCGAAATAAATGATATACTTAAGCTACTACTTTATTTTCTGATGGCAGTTGTCAGAATAAGTGTCAACGTTCAGGCGCCACCACTGATTAATAACAATAAATTATAACTATTTCATGTGTTACAAATACGCGGAAAAGATTTGGAAACAGTTTCAATGTCTGACTCTGCGTTATACTAACGACGTTCTCGAACTGATTCGAATAAAAATCCGATGAGGTCATCTCAGCGAATTTAGTTTAATATTCACCGTAACAAAAAACACATTTTTCATACGGCGAGTCGCCTTTTCAAAAATGTGAAACAATCCTTCAATTTTCACCCGCAACGTTGAGACATTCGTTGCTCTTTGCAATGTTCAAGTTGCATCATCACACCGACATGCGTGAACTTGAACGACGAAAACGCTATTATCTCCTCATAAGAATATCATACATTATACGGTACAGATCTACGTAATAAATTACGTGTCTGCTAACTGGAGCATGAAGTTTGCATGGTACAGACTTGGGTATATGTAGTGGTTGTTGTTATTATTAAATAAATGCATAAATTCTTGAAAATTAATTGAACCCTTTGACGGTGACATACTCGATTCATTCCTCATTCTTTTCCTTTATTTTTGTCCCATGTTCCTTCGTCAATATCGCTTCCATTCTATATTTACAAAAGTCTGTTTCTAACTCCTCATTCTTACTAATCTGTATTTGAAATCGAAGAGTGCTGATTACCTTTTGTTTTATTATTCTCCCTTGTGGCGTTTGTCATTTTGTTTTCCGAGTTTCGCAGAACTCAAGTAAAATCAAGTCTTATAATTTACTGTGCGCGATCCCAGTAGTGCGATCGCGGAATGCACAATATCGGAATAAAAATCTTTCAGGCAACTGCTGCATTCCTGTGCAAGAAAACAAACGACACCATAGTTTTGTTGTTGCTTTCGATGTCGTTGTTGGGTGGTGGCACATAAATAACGTCACCTTTGTACACGACAAGATTACCACTTCTTCTCCAACTCGTGAATCTCTTACCAGAAGTAACATTTAAGCGTTTTGACTGTTGTTGATGAAAGAGTTTTCGATGCATTACAATATTCCGATACGTTTAAACCCTTGGTATTTAAGTTTACAATCTCAACTAATGCTGTTGCCTCATAACTATTAAAAAAAAAAGCATTCGAATCCAAGATGGACGTTGAAACAATTGAGTCAATACGATTGTTGAAGTTGAAAACAAAAGATTAAAACAGTTGAGTAATTACGATTGTTTTATTAACAATTAGCTATCGTTGTTGTGGAATCCCATACTCAGAAAGTTCGATTAGGAATATTTAAGAGATTTCTGGTGTTCGCTTTCGTGAAATTCGGATTTGCGTAGGTTCAAATATACATTCAATTGTTTGGGTTTTGTCAAAATGTGGACTGACTTTTGTTTTTTGTATTTTAGGGCTTGTGCTGCTGTGTAATGGTAACCGTAGGCCTGCCGACTGCTAGGCAGGAGCGCGGTTCATCGAACGACATCGTTTTCGGTGAAGATTTTGTTGCAATCCTCCTCGATTCACCAGCTGAGGAGGATCTCGTCAAAATCAACACCTCATCCGAACCCTCTCAGCGTTACACGAACACAAACAAACGTACGACAGATTATTCTCGACAGACGAGAAGTACTGTACTGACCAACTATTACACATCCACAACATCACCTCACGCGGTGGAAACCACTTCCGAATTGAACCAGTACGGTTCGAGTACACCGGAAGGGGAAAAGGTTGTAGTTTTGGGAGTGAGTGTCTCGACTTCTGTAGGCGATTCTCGAAATCCGGAAATGGACCAGACGGTCTCCCCCAACGCTGGAGACGATAAGGCTGTGATACAAACGGAATACAGACCCAGCATTGTTGCGGAGTCGAGTAAAAGTGACTTTAGTGTGGAAGAAAGTGCACCCGTAACACAAGATCATGATCCCCAAAATCCTGACAGCGCCGATAACGTCGAATATCCTGCTAGAGTCCAATCGGTTCCTAGTCCGCAAGCCCTTCCGCTCATAAACTCAAACTCTAACTTGTATCAAGGACTAGATCGTGACGAAGACAAAGACAATCTTTCCCCGTACCACCATCAGACCCTTATATTCCACGACAATCCCCACGAACCCGAAAAAGCAAAGTCCGTATCCTACACATCCGTTATCCACTCTCTGCCCCAGGGATCATCCCCAAAACAATGGCAAAATCAAGACGAGAACAAGGAAAACGCAGAACATGATCGCCAAGAGAGGCATTACGATGCAAACACTAATTACGGAAACAACTTTTACATAGATGGGACCAACAAAAATGTCCAACTGCCTAGCAAAGAAAACCACAACGACGATGGATCGTTTACGTACACAAACTCTCCCTTAAAAAGCACCCCAAACGAATGGAAGGGGCTTCAGAACCAACAAGACGTTGTCGAAACCTCTACCGCACAATCGACGAAATCCTACGATCAGCCGCAAGATGATCAAAATAAATCGATGGTAACTGATCATCACCGACATCATCAGCAAAGGATTTATGGCGAACCAGAAAAGAATTATGAAGTTGAAGAAAGCGTTAGCGTTTTGACCAACGGAAGAGTACACGGGGTTCAACCGGTTGCATCCCCTAAACCATCCTCAAGTGATAATACTAAAAATGCGTCGACTAAGCAGGGTGACAACAACCAAAAAGTAGGGTATGTCGTAGAGGGTAGAAACTATAGGAAATATAGGGTAGAGGAGAGGACCCCCGATGGGTTCATTGTGGGCGAATATGGGGTTGTAAGTCACAACGATGGTTCACTTCGAGGTGTTCGATACACGGCGGACGGAACCATTAATCCAAGACTAATCTATGACGCTTTGATGAAATTCTTATCGTTATAATCTTCATGAATAAATTGCATATTTCTTCGGTTGTGAAGAACTTGCCATTTTTGTCAGTTTTTTTTGTATTGATGATTGAAAAATATATGTGCATGCCGTAGGGTGTCCCAAAATTCACACTTGAAGTAATTTTGAGAAAAAATAGTATATCATGGTAAATGTCAAAATTCGTAGAGAGAATCTGGAATTGTCCAGAATTAATGCTCCTGGATTCTCAGCAACACTCTGACCAATTGCTTCAATGTTTTGTACTGATGAACGACTTTTTGAAGGGCTGTCAGAGATCAGTAATAATTGATCCAGTCTCTCCCAATTTTTAAATCAATCTTGATTACCATATTATTATTTTTTTGCACAAATTCCTCGAAGTTTGCGACACCCTTTAAATCGTATATTAATCTTGTGATAAAAACGACTGAAGTTAACTTTTGCCACAGCAAAATAATTAATTATTCACTAATTAATTACTATTGCTGTCATCTAATGTATTATATCTACATTTCGACATGCGTCACAGTTTCAGGGTGGTATTATCGATAAAATGTCTCAATAAGCAATTAACTAATATGAATTTGGCTTATTTTGATATTTTTTGGGGGTAAACAGGTGACAATAAGCTAACAAGATAATGGAGGGTATTAAATTTTGACCGAAACGTTGAATCAAAAGTTTTCTACGTTTTGGTCGAAAGGCCTCATTTTTATTAACTGGTTTTACTTTGCATTTTTCTTCAACAAAAAAAAAATACATAAATTTCGATGTTTTCCCTATTATGTATACTTAAATAGTTAATTCAATTATTATCCATTAATAATAATAATAATTAACACAAGTGTGTTTAAGTAAGTGGTCGAATTGTATGTAAATGGGGTACTATCAATTTTTTGGACTGATTTGTACTCTACGTTATTAGGCGCCATAAGTTAGTAAATTATCTAGTTTAATTATATTATTGTTCCCAAGAATTTTTTTTTTTTAGTAATTTCAGTTTAAGTTGTCCGTGTCTATCTATCTTATACGGTAGTAAGTAAGTAAAGATTTTATATCTTGAACTTAGTCATTAGTTAAGTGATTTATTGATTGATTGTATATAATTATAATTGCTCATTTTTCAACTTTATTTGTATCTGCTAATAAATGATAAGAAAAATATCTAATGTAAAATAAACTATTATCCAATAAATTCTTTAGTTATTCTTTTATACATTTAAGGAAATTCGATTTATTAATTAACTAATTTATTTTTTAAGAAAACAATACATTAAAATTTCAGACCTGAGAAATGGATAGCTAATTGGTTTCGTGATGACATTAAATTGCCGGTCTTCACTAATTTGCTGAAGATTATAAAATAGTCTTTTTTGGTTAATTAACCCCGCTGACAATCGGTTTATGGATATCCTTTTTGTGATGCCTATTAATTTGGAGAACATTTATTCACTTTTTTGTGTGGTGTTCAACTGTTTTTCATCATTTTGTTTATATTTTGTTTTTGATTCGCTTTTGTCATGCTGTTTGATTGTTAGTCATTTTTTTTCGTACTGTTTTTGCAAAAACTATTGAACTGCAGTTTATTTTAATATTCGTTATTCAAACATTACTTGTCAGTTACATGTTACATACGTGTGTACGTAGTTGTTTTGATAAATAAGTTTTTGTCCAGATTAAAAAACTTAATTATCCGCTACTGTTACATATGAGATATGATACGTATATATGAGAAAATAATTAGTGTACCTACGTGTTGTTAATTAGTATATAAAGAGACTATAGATGTGGAATAGCGGCATTGAGAATAATTTTCGTGCCAGTTCGATCAAGTACCCGACCTTGCAAGGTTCTTTCACATTCTAAAAACGTTTTCCTTTTATTATTACGTAACAATGTAACACTTTCATTTTCCATTTTTTTTTTACTTTGGCATTATTTAGTTAGAACACAACTGGTTATAGTGCAAAAAGCAGTAGCAGTATTTTTTAGCTAATAACAGCTTTAGAATGGATTCCGAAACAAACGTTTTGATGATTTCGTTTCAAATGTTTTTAGTTACTACAATACAAACGAACACACACACGCACACAGGACAATCACAACTGTTGATAATTGTTTTATGAATTAGAAAAAAAAAGTTCCTTCGGGCCGGATTTGAACCAGCGACCTATGGATGTCTACATCATTCGGTTTCCTCTACAGTCCACCGCTCTACCAACTGAGCTACCGAAGGCGATGTCAATTGCACAGCCGAACACGAATTTGATTAGAATATGTTTACAAAAGTTTTTTTCTTATCGTTATATCATATTTTAACAATATGTTACTTGAAAAAGAAAATTTACGGCATCATTACAGCGAAAATATCTATCAGTTAAGTTTCTATCTAATAATTTTTCTTTGAGGAAAAATAGATTGACCGTTTTTTCAAAAAAGATTTTTCCAATTTGGAAAAACCTCCATTACTCTTAAAAAATGAGTGAATTCTTTCCATTACTCATAAAAAAGTAGTAGTCAATTGTAGATACTTTCATTGGTCACAACTCTGATGAAAACATTTTATCCAGTTCAACTTTGAACACTCTGTAGGTACATGATACATTTAATACTACCGCCATCTTGACTTATACTATGCCTTTTAATTTCGCATCTTTCTTTATTGTAGGCATATACAGTCATGTCAGTCTCCAACATCCTGTCTTTTTAAAGACCAAGTCTGTTCAGTTCTTATACGTGTAAGAAGATACCGACGTATCGTCTTACAGCAAAACTACAATCCTCCATTGTAAACTCCTTGTTGGCCTTTTGAGTTTGTTGTATTATTATGTCGACCATGAGCAAAAACCCATGTGACGGTTATAATAATACATAAATACATTCATGTTCATTTTCTCAGTCATTTATTGTAAACCTTTCTTTTTTTCGTTAATCGTTATTAAAGTACCTGTAATGATTGTGAGAACTTTTGGGATTATAAAGAAAATCGGTGGCTAAAATGGATGAGTAACTGGAATTATTGAATTACCAAATATAGTAGTTACGCATAATACTTGAGTTACCATGGTTATTGGAGTTAAAACAGTTGAACAATTACAACTGTTCCAGTTAAAACACCAAACTAACTTCAATTATTGTTGTTGAAGATTGAAACAGTTGAGGAACCATGATTATTGAAGTTAAAACAGCAGAATAACTTCAGTCAGTGTTGCTGAAGATTGAAACAGTTGAGGAACTACGATCGTTGAAGTCAAAATAAAAAAATAACTTCAATTATTGTTGATGAAGATTGAAACAGTTGAAGAACTACGACTGTTGAAGTTAAAACAGCGGAATAACTTCAGTCAGTGTTGCTGAAGATTGAAACAGTTGAGGAACTACGATCGTTGAAGTCAAAATAGAAAAATAACTTCAATTATTGTTGATGAAGATTGAAACAGTTGAGGAACTACCACTGTTGAAGTTAAAACATCAGAATAACTTCAGTCAGTGTTGTTGAAGATTGAAACAGTTGAGGAACTACGACTGTTGAAATTAAAACAGTAGAATAACTTCAATCAGTGTTGCTGAAGATTGAAACAGTTGAGGAACCACTATCGTTGAAGTCAAAATAGCAAAATAACTTCAGTTATTGTTGCTGAAGATTTAACTAGTTGAGTGAGTACGATAATTAAAGTTAAAACAGCAAAATAGCTTCAGTCAGTGTTGCAGAAGATTAAAACAATTGAGGAACTACGATCGTTGAAGTTGAACTAGCAAAATAACTGCAGTTGTTTCTGAAGATTGAAACAGTTGAAGTTAAAACAGTCAAATAGCTTCAGTTGTTTCTGAATATAGAAACAATTGAGTAAATACGATTGTTGAAGTATCTATTCAATAGACGTTGGAACCAGTTGAATAACTATCATTGTTGAAATCGTCATGTCCACCTGTTGTTTCCTAAAGAAGCCATAAAAACGAAACAAAACCACAGCGATTTCTCATCGCTTTTCGATCTAATCATAAGCACCAAGAAGATTTGGTCTCCAGCTGTGGATATATGTATTTATATACTTAGTGAACCTCAGTACACGCTCTTTTATTATTTAATATAATCGTTTTACCGATGGCGAGGAGATGAATCTTTCTTTTAACATCGTACCTTTGGTTTTTCGATTGAACAATGATGAGGACACTTCACCTTTTGAATGAGAGACGTCTCCATCAGTCAAAGCACCTACCAGCATACCGTATCACGGGGTCCTCAGATGCTACCCCATAATACAGTTCAAACGGAGCAGACTTCTCACGGTATTTTTTAAGAGAAACAAGGCAAAGATAAAGAAGAAAAATTCACGTTCTTATTGAATAAATGTGACATATTCGTATTATAATATTTGCCATAGATATGAACTGGAACCCCCCTGCCCCCACGTGGTAAAAATATTGAAACCGTTTCTGTTAGGTAACCGAAAAATCGTTTCCCAGCGGAAAGGATGTCGTAATGACTGTTAGAAGATCCTTCAGGATCTGGTGCCTCCCCGGATGTAGCTTTAAAAAGCAACTCCGCCCCACAACCTGTAGCTTAAGACGTCGCTGGTACCTATACCATTCAAGTGCTCAACTTCAAGAAGGTACCTTTTGTGTGCCCTTCCTGACCGTTGCTCTTGTTATTAGATCTTGCACCACCTGATTTTTTTCCAGTTTGCTCTATATCTTATTGTTCGCCATTCTCACACTTTAAAACGTTGGCAAATTCAACCACAGCAATCAAACAAATTCTTACGATGTCTTCTTTTGTTTGTCAAACATTCGAATTCGAATAATGTAATAAGTAATTTTGTTTATTTTTTGAGACAAATGAGAACTATTTCACATAATCTAAATCATCATCCAAAAATTAAATGAATGAAATTTTGAAGATTTCCCACCCTTATAGATTTATTTCATTGGAAAAATTTATATAATCTAATAATGCCGCATTTTTTTCTATATAACATAGGTTTATTTTAGAGATACCTTGGACGAATTTTCCCATGCCGCCGTTGTTTCTTTGACGGTTATTCTATATAACTTGTCCACCTGATCTTACCATCTTCATTATATTCTCCTGTTCTTTCAGACTTCACTATATGAACTTCATTATCTGCCATTTGATATCTGTGCCGTTGAAAGAAGCTATTGCAAAAACGTCACGTCCTTTGATAGTAGTGGGTTTAGTTGGTAGTTCATTTCGGGTAGCCAAGCACGAAACACAAAAGACAGCGATTAAATCGAAAGTGACATAATACAAAACACCACAAAGATAAGCGTTTTGTCTACACGAATGATTCTAACTAAAGATTGAATCAAAAACACAGTATGTCAACCAAATCAAAACAACCCGTTTAGACTAGTTCGTTTTCAAGATTCTAACCTTACAAAATTCTGCGTTAATAAAATATGGTGTTTGCTATAGGCTTAAAGGAGGTCCCAATATAAATGGTTTTCACAAAATCTTTTCGGTATTTCTAGAACTGCGTATATATATAGGGGTTTACATTGTAATAGTGACATTCTGACAAATTTGTGGTGTGTTGACACACATTGTGGTCTAAATACCGAGCAAAAAGTCCATTCACAATTTTAAATGGCGCTGTCACCATTACTATTGACGCTATTGTCAATGAACTTCACATTTACGTATTTACCTGATCGAAACCTTCGACGTATATGTGAAATATTTAATATGTACCAAGAAATGGGTTATTATTTTTAATTCGCTAACTTTGTTCTTGTTAAGTCTTCGATAATTAAAAAGGAAAGTTCGAAAAACAAAGCAAAAGTAATATCTACTCATTTGTTTAAAAGAAGAAACAAAGAAGATTAAGGGGAAAAAGAAAACAAAAGTACTATTCATTTGTTTAAAATGGAAAACAAAAGTTTTCTTTTGTTTAAAGTATTGAATCAAAAGAGACAATTTCAACAGTAACAACTTTATTGTCAGTTTTGTAATGTTTTTAAAGAACGATTTCAGATTGCAGTTACCTACATTAGGTAGAAAAGTTATCGAAAGTATAGGATAGGTTTATGCGTTTAGTAAGAAAGTCAGGAAGGGCTGCATTGAAGTAGAACGTCCTGAACGCACCTGGAAGAGATGTGCGCTATTACTTTTCGCTGTTTTTCAAAAGAACTGACCTAACTCTAGTTATCCTTATTAGTCGGTCGGCTGAATCGGTACAATGAAGGAATTGCAAAGGTTGTATGCTCTTAGGGGTTGCTATCTATGCAAGGGATGTTATTTTAGAACGTTTACATGCATATGGCATCATTCGGTACAGGGATGTACAAAGCAAGGATCGGTTTTACTTTGTATTGTAATAACATGAAACAACATTTAATTGTGACATTTTCTAAAAATAATTCTGTAACTAATAAGTTATTAATTGGTAATATTAATATGAACCGTACAAATTTTTCAGTAAATTTAAACTGACGAGTTGGAGAATCAGGGTTTTTGGTCAACCCTGGCCGAAAAGGTAACAAGTTCAGGCATTACAATTTTGTTCATTGTCGACGGATCCAGGTGCCTTTGTGCCTTTGCGACTAAATACCAGATTACTTCAACAAAAACTTCAGCCGTCAACAGATAGAATAGACCTCTGGAACGTTACAAAGACTTTATACAATGTTCTAAAGGCTGATGAAGTCCAAAATGCTCGCCAACCTAATTTTTTTCTAATATATCATTTACAATACACATCACCATTTTTGCTTTAAATAAGTTCAACATTTGAAGAACTTCTTTTTCTTTCTATTTGATCGTAGCAATACTTGAAACAACAAGTTTCTTCAGTAATTGAAACAGTAGAGAGCGCTCCTACATCATTTGTTCCAACTTCAATAACACATGAAACAAAAAAACTTATTTAACAATTGACACAGAGTGAAAAGTGACCCAGCTTTCATTTGTTTCTGCTAAATCTTAGTAACCAATGACGCGACATCTAACGCAGTTGACAGGGGGGCTGCATTGACTAAAAATCATCCCTTCTGCATCTCCACAACTCTGACAGTATATCACGGGGATGAATCTACGTTGTTCTCGACAATTAGCGGTGTATGAATTCAGACATTACTTATCATTTGCACGTAATCTCGAAAGGGAATCATCGAAAAAGTAGAGAGAGACAAAATACTAACGACATTAGGCGGATCAAAGCCTACTTTGCCGGCTGCAAACCGCATCAGACAATGCACTCACTATGATCTCTGCACAAAAGCCAGATTAGCAGATAGCTTTAGGACAATTACGTTCTAGCATTCTTTTCAAAAGAATAATGCAAACAGCTTGTAGATATTTTGTTGGAAAAAAAAAAAGAAAAGGGAAGCCACTGGCAGAAGATACTACATACCTTCGATTGTTTTCAGAAACTACGAATCTTAAAAGTACAAAGGGTTCTCATTACTAAACTTCGTTTGTTTTAATAAAAATAAAAAAAGAAAAGGGAAACCACTGCCAGAAGATACTACAAACCTTTGATTGTTTTCAGGAACTACGAATCTTAAGAGTACAAAGGGTTCTCATTACTAAACTTCGTTTGTTTTAATAAAAATAAAAAAAAAAAAGAAAAAGGAAACCACCGCCAGAAGATACTACATACCTTCGATTGTTTTCAAAAACTACGAATCTTAAGAGTAGAAAGGGTTCTTATTACTGAACTTCGTTTGTTTTAATAAAAAAAAAAAAAAATGAAAATGGTAAATTTGATGTCACCATGTCGAACGTTAATTCACACAGTTGTTATTGACAGTGATTTTGATCCACAAAGGGTCATCATCTGCATGTACCATTACCTACAACCCCCTGGTGGTGCATGTCATCATCGGAAGTGACTGCTTCCGGCATTCCCATGCACCCCCAGTTAGCGCCATCTGACGCAATATCTGCTGGCATCTCTCCCGATGTGATTGCATTAAAATTGAAACTTTGAACCTACAAAAATGTAACATGTGGTACTTTTATGTTCGTGAGATTCACAAAATATTCGACACGTTAGATAGAGAGAGGGTGGTTTTGTTGTGATGTTGACACCGCGTAATACATACCTATAACTAGTGTTCCTGTTTGTAATTAGCAGGATAAATCATCTTTTTGTCGTTGCTACTCGTGGGAAAAGAGGGTTCGATAGGAACGATGACAAACTAAATTAATCATCAGCTCAATTATTATTAATTACTGCTCAAAATGCATACGTACATATAATACATTTCTTTGTTAGTATGTATTAGCAGAGTTTGATTGGAGAAATTCGAAAATATATTTTCTCCTTATTGATCATAGATGTATACTTAACGTAACGCGCTTTTATACCAAAACAAAGGTGTGTTCTTGGTGGAAAAATGCGTAACCGTATCTTGTAATGTACAAATGATTAATCAAAAACTTAATTAAAGCAAATCAAGTCATCAAAACTGAAAACAAAGGAATCGGCAAATATTTTGTACTAGCGACCCGCCCCAGCTTCGCACGGGTGCAATGCTGATACTAAATATATTTTTGTTTTGTTTAGATTATTATCGAAAAGGGGAAATCTTCAAAAGATACCCCCTGAACATACTAAATATACTACAGAATGTCTTTATATACAACATTCACAGGTTTTTTGTCATTAGACAATACAAACCGGCCGGTACCGCCGCAACCGCTATGTCCCTGCGTTTTAAATCTGTAATATCTTCGAAAATATTCATTTAAATTACATGCTGTAAAGGGCCATATTGATCTATATTAAATGCACAATGTATTTAAGGTACTTAATTGGATAAGAATTAATGCTGTATCGCCTACAATCGCTTCGTAAATAAGTCATTATTTCTCATAAAAAGTAAAGGATAAAAATGGTTTTTGTGGGTTATCCCTTAGAGATAGACATATACCATCGCGGACTTTTTTGAAGACCCTTTTAAGATGTACAATATTGTAGTACATTATTTTGATCTATGTCGTAGAGTTCAGCCAGCGTTTGCAATGTAAGCGCAAAAAATGTGTTGATTTACGACATCACATTACAATCCTCTAAAATTATCGGTGTTTCTCTACTACATTATGCATGTATTATACATATAAACCTTCCTCTTGAATCACTCTATCTTTAAAAAAAACCGCAACAAAATCCGTTGCGTAGTTTTAATGATTTAAGCATACATAGGGACAGACAGCGGGAAAGCGACTTTGTTTTATACGATTTAGTGATTCTAACTCTCGCTTATTATTGTAAGGCTTTTTGATTCATTGTTAAATTTGATCTTAATATTTAGTACTAGTTGCTTTATTAGTATTTCAAATTGAACCAACAAAAGTACCTATACCATTCATAAATTCACCAATTTGGGATTTCCGAAGATAATTGAATTATCATATTCTCATTTCATTCATGTTTTCATAATAAAGATTTCAACTTTTAACTTTGTCAATGACATTAAATTTCTAAACAACCGCGGGGGGTTGAATAGAAATAACCCCATTGTTTCATTCCTAGTAAGTAGATTTTATTCTTAGCGACCTTAAGGGCACCGTTAATTAAGTGAAGAAATGACTTTGAAACAGCGGTATACGAGGGTGGATTGATAAGTTTCCGGCCTAACCAAGAGATGACGCCACTAGGCCTACCTTGAGGTGACATTCTATAGTACCATCCTTGGATAGCTTGTAGCNTTTCTTCCAATATACTATATCTATATAATACATCATATATATAAAAAACTTCCAATTCAGTCTCCCCCAAGGCCCTAAAAAAGTTAACCATGCATGAAGTATAGGTTAATATCGCTAAATTATTTTGATACGCGGAATGATCTGTATGATCCCGTACTTTCATAATTCGAGCCACCCTTATTAAAAATATTTTGATATGGTGAGCATGTTGCCCGGGGCTGTGTATGCTCTTCATAAGTGGCGTACAGGGCGCTCACCCTCTGAAATTTGATTTACGTATAATACGAACAGCGCGAAAAATAACGAATATTGGTCGTCTACAACTGCGTGATACAAAGAAAAAACATTAAAAACGTAAATTATTCGCTAAATTAATAAGCAGTAAATGCTAAGGGTAGGATTTTTATTAATGTTGTTGAACAAAATCCGTTTGTGGAGTTGCTAATCAATAAAATATAAAGGTATCGGATTTTTAAAATTATTTTGCTGTTATAAATAAATCAGGTGGCCAAAAAATTAGAAATATTGGATTTCGGATTATTTGATTTTCTTCTGCATCAAAAGAAATTAGTAAATTTGTTGTAGTCAGTTAAATTTCATTTAGTCATTAATTCGTTGCGATTAATCATAAAGGCAAATTTGGTTGATGTGGCACCCCTCCCTTTGATTTAACATAAAAAGGGACGCTCATCGTTTGAGTAGGATGGGCCACGATCGCATTTACCCCAGGGGTACCAGGCCAGCGACCAATAAGGACTCGTCCTGGCCGAGTCAAAAAGGGAGACTACTTCGTCATTCATGCCCTACGCCGACGGATGAAACTTTTTCCGAAAAGTTGAAGCCCTTAATGCTTAAAAGTTTCATTCAAAAGTTTATAATGGCAGACAACCGCGTTCGTTTGTGGTGACGAAATCAACGATCATCGTCATCGCGACTTTTGGTTTTAAGTTTTTTTTTTATTATTATTGGTGCGTTATCAAAAATGTTAAGTGCAAGTGCCAGTTTGCAAGGACACGAACAAAGTCTAATGTCCATGGATACTTCCATGCATCAAATTAAATTGTCTTCGTCTTCCAGTGAGTACCATTTTTTGGTAATTTATTAATGTAATCGATATAATTATTAGTGTGATAGGTAGAAAATCTTTTAAATAAAACTCAGGTTCTGTGCACTTGTTTTCTGTGAAAATCTCCTGTTTTTATGCCTGAAATTTCTTAGAAAAGCATCTTCTTTGATGTATACAATCTTTCATTGAATAGTCTGTAAAATTATTTAATGAAATTACTTTGACTTATAAAAGACAAATTAATTTTTTAGTTGTATAAGAATATTACTGTATTTACCACTCTGTGACTTTTGTTACTATTTGTATTGGTAGAGAAAGGGTAAAGGTCAGCTAAGATTTACTTATATGACACCCGTGCCGAGATTATTTTAGCAAAATGAAGCTAGTTAATATTTGAAAGTCCATTTTTTTATTGTTCCTAATATACCAAAACAGTTCCTTTTAGATGTTCCTTGATTACGTTTTTGTTTAATGGTGTAGGTGATTTTTCAACTATTTTCATTCTTAATTCCTAAAAGGATAACTATTCATTTGTTAGAAAACAACTGCCATTTCTGTATAATATGTTATTCAACTGTTTCTTTTGACTTATTATGTAAACTAATCCATAATCACTCATGAGAATAAGAATGTAGGTTATTCTTATTAGAAAAACGGAACTGGAAATGGTACATCCTGTTTTGGAAGATTGAAATTCAACACTAATTGTTAAGGGGGATACGAATGCCTACCCTAAGAGCTATATCGCTGTTTCAATCATCCCAAAAAGAGCAATCTTCCTGTTCATTATACTTCTTCCGGGATTTTCATTATTATTATAGGTACCTCTACCTAATGTATACAATATACGTACACGCCCTCGTTATCCTTACAATGCGATCGTGACAAAACTAGTAATCCTTGAAATCTACCCTTAAATAACTTCCTTAAAAACATAGACATCTTCTAATATTATACAATCAATTCCAATCGGTTAACGAACCAATCCCGCTGAATATTATCAATTGTTTTATTTATTGACTTATTACTGAGGACGATCGTTTTTAGGTCGCATCCTGGACATCCCGTGTAAAGTTTGCGGAGATTTCTCGTCGGGTAAACACTATAACATTTTTGCTTGCGACGGGTGCGCAGGATTCTTCAAAAGATCGATCAGAAGGAACCGCCAGTACGTTTGCAAGGCGAAAGCCGAAGGCAGTTGCATTGTGGACAAAACTCATCGGAATCAGTGCAGAGCATGCAGATTAGCAAAGTGTCAAGAAGCAGGGATGAATAAGGACGGTGAGTGTAGGACGATTATTTGTGCCAGATAACGGGGAAAATAATAAGCGGATTACCTACTGGTCAGGCCGTTTCTGTAAGCCTAAGACTCGAGTACTTACGGTACAAACCTTCGACCGCTGCAACCAAAACATTTATAGCAAAGTATTATTTTTCGGTAAACAAACTCATGATATTGTAATGCTCGTGGGTTTAACAAAATTAACTTCTAAGACTGATAACGACAAAAAACTATTTATTTACACTAATTATTAAAGAACTTAAAAACACTATTAAATTATTACTAAACTTAGGTTATGAATTATTCTATTTATTTACTCTACTGTTGATATATCACTATTCACTGCGCCATTTATTACACTGCTATTACTGACAAAATTTATTTCTCGATTCACTTCTGCAACGGTCATTTTATTTCTTCTTCTGTCGGCGATTGTTTCTTCCTTTAAATACTCTTTTGTGTACTTTCTTGAACCTTCTGGAAACATCCGGATAGTTTATGTTTTCTTTGAATTGTTTAACTGCTTTCCTAGAACGCAGGTACGACCACACACACACATTTACTAATATGACGCACATGAAGAAATGCGCCCGCGGCTAGTCGGCGAATCGATAAGCCGTTCACGCACACGTGTGCCTGATCGCACACAAACATACTCGTGCTCACTACACATTTTTTTTTGTAAAACCTATCAAACATTCATTCAATTTTAAATCGCCTTCTTGTAGACGTCGAATTTGTTACAATCTGAACGCGGATATTTTATTCGTTTAGGGTGCAGCAATCTATTAGAGTTAATTCCTTACTTGTACATCTATGTATGTAACATAATATTTGTATAGCAATAATTCAGTTATTTCCACCTATATTTGTATACAAAATTGCCTATATATTATTATCAATAATTAAATTGATGAATTGCTAACCGGAATCTTGCAGGTGCAAAAAAATTATTCTTACTAACTGATACACTGTTCGTAATAATAAGAGCAGAGGAAATAATTATTTCAAATTATTCCGTGCGGTCGTTATAATGTAATGGTCTTTTACGAAGAGGACATTCTGGAAAAACTTTTGCATGTATGTATTTTATTAAAATTAGTTTATTAATGGTCAGTTACAAGAGAGTTAACATTACCATATTTTAACATTATCTGCCTGAAGATGTTAACTTTTCGAAGTATGACTTACACATAGTTTCACTAGTCATTAGGCCGAATTTGTAAAAATAAAGCATTTACAAATTCAAGTAAAAGGTAGAAGTAAACACATTTTGGCTACAATTTGTATTCATAATCTATACCTTTTCTTTGCAAGGAAATGCTTCGAATTAATAAAGAAAAAGATACAGATTAGCCCCTACGGATTTCGACAAACTAGTTGAAATTTACATTGTGCAATCAACGTGTGTGTGTATTCCGTAACAGCTTTTTATATTATTTGTTTAATACATTCCTGATTCACTTGTGAAGTGTTGAAAGTTAGCAAATTTAAAATGGTTCGCACAATAACGTAGAAATATTTTCATTTTCTGCACAGGTGACGCGGCTGCTCCACGTGTTTCAGAATACGCGCCAAGAAAGTAGTCCGTCAACCACACAACATTCTCCTCCTCAAATCTAAATCTGATTTGCGTGGTGTATGTCTCGGTTTGTAGTATTTTCTTGTAACTAAATGCACCATATCAGCCATAACAAGCACAACACTAGGGCCACACAACAAAATTACTTGTACAAGTCCTACAAATATATAATTTTTTACGTTACAAGCTGTGTGATGCCTGGTCAGCTACTTAAAAGTTGAAAAAAGCAAGAAAAGTTGTTAACCTAGATTCCTTTTTTTAGAAGCAAATCCTTTAGTTTTTGAGCAGATGCTTCCTTTTATACGTACAAATTATGTAAAATCTTTTACTTTAAAGCAAACCCTCGAAGCAAAACCTTTTCCTTCGCTTTTTTTATGCATATACCCTGAAGGAATTACTTCAACTTTTGGAAGCAAAAGGTAAGCCTTTTTTTTATAAATACCACATATTGATTCAAAAGGGGATTTACTATATTACACACCTTACAACAAGAGCGGAAGTAGAGTTTTCAATGAATGTAGAAGCAGACCTACACTACTCTACACTTTGAATTTCATTCTTTAAAGTATGCGTTATCACTCGCAAAAATTTCTGTCTTCAACTTCCTCCCATATTTTTTTAACATTAAACGGAGTACGTATTCTGAATTTAAATTTGAATATTGTATGATACACAATGAAACGTATTTTTAACTTAACGTTTTATATATATTTCTTAATTCTACAATTCCCATCAGTTTGTAATCCGGGTTTATTTAATGTAATAGCTATACCTATGTCCATNTATGAATTATTCTATTTATTTACACTACTGTTGATATATCACTATTCATTGCGCTATTTATTTCACTTATTTCACTGTCAATTTATTTCTGGATTCACTTCTGCAACGGTCAATTTATTTCTCCTCCTCTCGGCGATCGTCTCTTTCTTTAAATACTCTTTTGTTTACTTTCGGGACCCTTCCGGAAACATCCGGATAGTTTATTTTTTCTTTGAACTGTTTAACTGCTTTCCCAGAACGCAGGTAGTCGGCGAATCGATAAGCCGTTCACGCACACGTGTGCCCGATCGCACAAAAACACACTCGTGCTCGCTACAATATAGTTTCATTCTGACTATTATTGTTAACTATGTGAAATTTTTGATCACTTTATCCACAACTAACTAACTAACTGATGATGGCTCTAATACCTTTATCTAAACACAAAATCCTTTAAATTATTTCGATGTGATAGTAGATACAGCAAAAGGGCCAAAGAAAAACGCACTCAAAAACTTACAAATGCTATTACGATCTGGAACATTTTGGCACCTGGTGGTAACAAGTTTCTTCTAACATCAACAGCTGTTGCCTATTAAGATTGAAACTTAATTACAATTGATCTCCACCAAATGCCAAGAAGTCATGCAAGAAAGGCCTAGTCGATCTTAAAATGACCGTTACAAATACTCTTACTACCCCTTTGAGCTCAGGATGCCTTCTTGACTTATTAAAGGTTAATGAGTGGAATGAACAATGGTAAACAGTAAGGGTCAGGTTCGATTGATAAGAGTTTTCGAAAGTATTTCGCTTCTTCGAGTTAATTAAATGGTTATCAAAAGAGTTGCCTTGGGGTAGTTTTAGAAGAACATTAGCAAATGATAAAATATTGGTGATTATTACAGAGAAGGAAGTCTTTGAATGCGCAAAATAATGTTGAATAAAAAATCATTAAATACTACATCAATAAATTACAAGTGTGTGTCAGTTAAAAATAGCGATTTGTTTAAAAATTTCGTTTTTTTTGAATGATGAAATTGAATATTGTGTAATACCTACCTTACAATTTAAGGCAAAACGTCAATGTGGTTTTGGATTAATAATAGGCGATTTCACGCTGGTTACAAGGGAAAAATACGAATTTTCTAGGTTTTATTTTCGTATTTTGAGAAAAGCGTCTTTTTTTAGCGGTTCAACATGAGAGAGGACCACGAAACTCAACATTACGTCGACAACAAATGGCTCAATTGTTTAATGAAACCAGTCAGAGATTAATGAATAGTTCAGCGGGTCCCGTTCTGGACTTGGCTTTACCCAAATCTAGATCAGCTCCTCCAGCCATAGATACCATGAGTATGATGCCATCCGCATCTTTTCTATGCAATGTTGTAGCCGGTATGCCCAGGGTAAGATCACTCACGGTGTGTTTCTCGGGCCTCTGCTATTAAATCCTTTATTATTCGTTTTAGTTTCCGTTCTCGATAGCATTTCCGCCTCCAACCGCCATACCACCTCTTATCAGTCCAGCATCGACGTGTGAAAGTGCAGCTCGTCTTATATTTATGAATGTGAAATGGGCTAAAAATGTCCCATCGTTCACTAATTTACCGTTGCAGGATCAACTGTTGTTGTTGGAAGAAAGTTGGCGAGAATTATTTGTTCTAGGTTCAGCCCAATTCCTTATGCCCTTAGAGTTGGGTCATTTGACCCATTACAGTGGCATTCTGGAAAGGCATCCCAACAAGGCAGATAATATAATCAATGAGATAAAGCAGTTCCAAGAAATCTTGTCGCGTCTGGCTCAATTTCAAATTGATACGCACGAGTATGCGTGCTTGAGGGCGATTGTCCTTTTCAAAACGACTTTTGAAAACCCTAATGTTGGAACAAGCGAGGAGAAGTCCTTGACCAATCCCACTTGTGTGGGAATTGTTCAGGATCAGACGCAGCTCATGCTTAACAAATATATTGCGACGGCTCATCCTGGACAACCGCTACGTTTCGGGAAATTGCTACTCCTCTTGCCTATGCTGAGAAACGTCTCTGGAGAGACGATAGAGGAATTATTTTTTCGAAAAACAATTGGAAACATACCTATCGTCAAAATTATCTGCGATATGTACAAAAATGCATCACCAGACCTTTCGTAATATTTATAATAAATTAAATTTGAGTACATGCACAAACAGAAGAAACAATGAGCAATTAAAATAAAATGAGCGCTGTGATTTCGTATTATATAGGTTTTATTTTTCTAGATATGTATTTTTTATATGTAATTATAATAATGAAATTAATGATTTTTTTTGTGCAAAACAGTTTTATGTAAATTAAGTTAAATATATTATTATATAGCTATTATACATAATAAAAATAATGTACATATTTTTTGAGCAATGTTTACAAAAATGGATTTTATGTAAATAAAGTTTGGACCTTTGAATTTTATTAACCTTTTTGATTACGGCTACTTACGTTTAACATTTATTTTATACCTTCAAGGTGAGTACTTTTACAGGATATAGACTTGGCGAAAACGACGTGGTTTTGTACTGTCTGCCCTTTTGGAAGTTTATAAAATATATATTTTGACTGTTAGGAATCTCGAATATGATTTTAGGTAGATTTTAGTGAACCTTATCGGTTTCTGCTTCTAGACGCTTAAAAATAAGTGACGTTTGGGTTTTGTAAGACCGAAAAATTATCTATCCCTTTAATGGTTTTATACCATTGATTTGAATTCATGATCACTTTACTTCGTTTCTCTCTCGATCGTCCAATTTCTAGGATTCAAGTCGATAACGAAACTGTTACATTATAAATATACTAAACTGCCTGCCTCTTCATTTACATTACCTCCCTAGTAAATATAACCTGCATGTCCTATCGGCAGACGCTGTTAGGTCAGTACGGGATACATAATCTTTCAATCGAGTGGTTTTTTTAAGTTCCCAAAAGGGGGCAGACGGCATATCACAACTTAAGTAACTTTTACTTTTTACGTTTAATTTTTACTTTTATCAATTAACACTGTTAATTGTTACTAGTTCTCCATTGGGTTCCCACTAAATCGGCGACGATCAAACCATAATAAAAATATCAAACGCCATACATTGCGGTAGCATAATCTGGGAAGTCACCCCTGCTTCATATTTTTTTTGTAAAACTGTATCGAGTAAGTACCTCGTGATAGACACCAACACGGGTGCACAATCAAACCCGAATTTAAATAATTAACAACGGGGGTGACAGTAACAGCCGCACGTCATTATTTGATAGATAATCCTCTATAATAGCGGATTTATTTTAATAGAAATTTGACAATCTGGATAGGAACTCATCTTTTATCCCGTGCGAGAGGGTGCCTATGTACCTACTCCGTATTAACCCCCGATTATTATTTAGTAACGTATAGTCGTATTTATGTACAAAATTCCGGATTTTGAACGCATCGTTCGGGCCAAAGTACTTCCGCTTTCAACCCCCTTTGCACAAGCCGTTCCCTTTGGGTGGAAAGTCGAAGATAAACGTCAATAGAGATTCTGCCTCCATAATGGGATGGATCGGACCAAATTCTTTCGGCAAATGCCGCCGTTCTGGGCCAAAGTCTGGTGTCCAAAGTGTCCTCGCCCACTTGTTCTGTCCACAGACAAACCTCGCCACCTAACACTGTGTCGATATCCATCGTGTACTCTACCCACGGCTGATACCCATAAACAATTTGCCACTGCGTATAGGGATCGCACGCTTCCCCTTTTGATTCCCTCCATTTTCCAAACCCGCAGTCCAAATACCATTTGCCAACGGTCGAAAAGATTATTTTGTACCTTTCGATAATCAGAAAATCGATCGTTCCAAACCAAAATTGGACTACTGTGCTCTCTTTGGGGAGGTAGTTGAATAGAAAGTCGTCCTCGGTTAGGTCACTGTTCCAAATCACCACGTATTTTGGTGGTTTATCACTGTTCGCTTGGTACGAACGATTGACCATCAGCCATAAATATTTCGTCCAAAATTCCCCGTAGGTTTCGTTGCTGTACCGGAACCAGCAGCTACTATCGATCTCGTCACCTCCTATGTGAAAAATTTCTGTAGACGTTTGTAGATTTCCGATTTCCTTGTAGATCTTTTCTAGAATATCGAGCGAATTGATATTAAACGGGTTTAGCATTCGATCTATGGTGTTGCTTCCGCAATCTAACGTTAAGTCCCCAAGATCCTCCTCAGGTCCCCAGTTCCAACCGAATTGGACGTGAGATGGACTGTCAACTTCTATTATCACTTTAACTCCTCTAACTCTTGCGTATTCTACCATGTCTCGAATGGTGGCTGCATCATAGACTTTTGCCTGACTGTAGGCCCCGTATTGGGACAGTTTCGGGACGCTTGGTACAACAAAGGGAAAACTCTGAGAATCGGTTATATGCCAGTGGAATGTATTGAGTTTGTTCGCGGCCATGCCTGTGATAACCCGTTTTAATCCTTCGACCGCGAAGTAGTTTCTCCCAGTGTCAACCATGACTCCCCTGTGCTTGAATTTGGGATAATCGTGGATGTCCGCCTCGTTTAAAATATTTAACGATTTCGTATCTTTGTCGTACCATATCAGTTGGGAAAGCGTTTCCAAACCGTGTCTTGCTCCGAAGAAATTTTCTGCAGTAATTGCAACAACGACTTTTTCTTTCTTTTGACTTACCAAAAGATGATAACTTTCGTCAGTGGATAATGTTATCGTTGTCATACTGAAATCGGTTATTTGTATGTTGAGAGATAAGCGGACGTTGTAGCTTCCTATCAGTTGTTTGTCAGGAACGTGGATATTTCTTTTGAAAATTTCAAACGCTTCATCAACGAGCTTTTTGGAAAGGTTCATTGCGTTTGTTGAAAAATCGATTTCGGTTGGTAAAAAGCTCACATATTGCTTACTCAGGCTGCCAATTTCTTGAGGGACAGGCCATAATTGTGAGTTTTTACCGCATGTCATAGAGCAAGTAATGTATGAAGATGTTGAATTATTCTCTAGGACTTTCTGGCATTTTTCGCCATCGCATTTGTAGCTCCACTTTAACGCGGAGTTTTGGCTTAAATATCTACAAAACAAATCGAAAAAGGCAAGTCATTATAGTTGTTGTGAATCATTTTACTTAAGATGGTTCAGTTCGTTGTTTACAAAAAAGATTATAGTTGTCGATTGAATTAAACGATTTTATATTATTAAAGAAAACAAAAAGAGAACTTACTCGCTTTCGGGTTCTTGTTCATCATTATTACTTCCCAATTTTATTTGTACTGTCGATGGTTTTGTAGTTATAAAAACCAAAAGTCCACAGAAAATCAAGAATGTTCCTATCAAAGCCGGAATTTTATGATAATAATTCTTTGTTATGTCCATTTATGTGGCTGTTTTTCATGATTTGAGTTTTAAACAAACAGTAGCTACCTATTCCTTGTACGTGACACGTAGGTATAACTGAAACCAATAAAGAAGTGATTTTAAATTCGTGCAAAACGTCATCGTATTGGAGATACTGATAATAGCTGATAATAACAAATGTCGCACTTTAGATAACAAGTTCACCACACCAACGGCTGACTATCTTTTATCGATCTCGTATTCTATCATGGTTTATTACGACTTATGAACGCTCTCTGAACATCAACTTCTTAGAATTCGTCCGTTTTAAAAATTGAAAAAATAGTATAAAAAACTCAATTATTTTGTTTTTAAATTTTTATCTTTATGGAAACACAAAAAAATTAATCAGCCTGTCAGAACTTCAACTCGAAATATAAATTACGGAAAATCACTCGAGTATTTTGACAATTTTTTTTTAGCATTTTCGTTGCTGTTGGTAACCTTCAAATGTCAATATTAAGTAGTAAAAAAAAACGAAAATTGAAGAAGTGTTTAATTTTTTTGGAGCATTTTTAAATCGTAATACACCATGCATCAGGATCGTTAAGAAGATGTCAGATTATTTACTAGAGCGGTATTCTAATGTAGGGTTTTTAGTTAATTAAAATATTCTTACCTCTGTTTCTTGGTCGAGTTCGAAGAAGAACAAAGATATTGTGTTCGATATTATCAAAGATCCGGCTACCGTTTAGCAACTTACGTTCGGCTCATTAGCAATGGCTTTGGGAAGTTTTTCTACCTGTAGAAAACCTAAAGCCTTTCTGTTATTACATTATCTGCCTTTAGGTAGCTAATTCTTGAGGTCTTTGTTCATACTCTGTTTGAGACGTGGCGTTATAGGCGGATGATGAAAATATCGTGGATTAGGAATGAGCACGCATGACGGTCTAGTTATATCTATTGCAGATGAAAATTGCTTTGGTTTTCGACAGTTGTGAATGTTGCCTCATGATACGACCAGGTGCATGCACGTGCTCGTCTACGGGTTCATGACCTTATGATGATGATGATGATAATAATGATGGTGTTTATGTACCTGTCTGGTTTCCTAAATCACGCTTTATTGATAAGAAATAAACTATAGATACATATATAGTATACAAAAATCAAACTAATTGTAAGTAAATATTTCGTTATCTTAATAGAGCACCGCTACATCTGTTTCGATTACATATATGCAAAAACCCAAATCAAACACAAGCATCGCCTACAGTCAGTTATGTACTTATCTACTCTTTTTTAGGTACACTTGAACTTGTATACCTTTATGGTCTCCTGTATTAGGAAACGGAAGAAGGCCCGTAACCCGTATTGTCTCGCGGTCTTTGTAAAATGTAGAATGTGAGACATTCCCACGGGATCGCGCAACTTTAATAAAATATTACAGGACAATTGATAGGTAGATTTGCTATTTATTGTATTAAAAGGTACTATACAGAGTGTATTTTAATTCAATTAGTAGATAGGGAATCACTATCACTACATGGTATAAAAGAAAGTCACTTCCCGTTGTCTGTCCCTATGTATGCGTAGATCTTTAAAACTACGCAACGGATTTTAATGCGTTTTTTTTTTTAATAGATAGAGTGATTCAAGAGGAAGGTTTATATGTATAATACATGCATAATGTAGTAGGGAAACACTGATCATTTTAGAGGTTTCTAATGTGATGTCGTAAATAAACACATTTTTTGCGCTTACATTGCAAACGCTGGCTGAACTCTACGAGATAGATCAAAATAATGTACTACAATATTGTACATCTTAAAAGGGTCTACAAAAAAGTCCGGGCTGGTATATGTCTATCTCTTAGGAATAACCCACAATAACCATTTTTTGTCCTTTTTATGAGAAATAATGGCTTATTTACGAAGCGATTTTAAACAATACAGCATTAATCCTTATCCAATTAAGTATTTTTAAATACATTGTGCATTTAATATAGATCAATATGGCTCTTTACAGCATGTAATTTAAATTAATATTTTCGAAGATGTTACAGATTTAAAATGCAGGGACATAGTGGTATCGGCCGGTTTGTATTATCTAACGACAAAAAAGCTGTGAATTTTGTATATAAAGACATTCAGTGGTATATTAAGTATCAGCATTGCACCCTTGCGGATCTGGGGCGGGTCGCTAGTGTTTTCTAATTTACAATAATTCTGTCCATTCATGATTTTGATAGAATTGTGATTCGGACTAGGAGTAGCCGTGGTCTAAAAAAATTATTAAGTCTAGACCTTTCGAGTAGACAAACTGTTGAGACATAATTCCCTCAAATAATGTTTTTTTTTGTTTTTAACAAGACCACTTGAAACTGTTTTTCCCAAACGAGCTAATCGTTCAAGTTATCCCACTGTCTGTCATAGCTGTCGCGATTTCAAGCTCTTCAGCTGTCGCTCGTCAATTCCCATAAGCGTAGTAGCTACTCGCAATTGCTACAGTACACAATCAGCCGTGCCATGTACGTAATAACATAAAATGCGCGACGGAAACAAAACAGCAACAGCATACGGACCGCATTTTATGCTTTGTTGCCTCGGAACAAACGTCACCACTTGGCGCACCGCAAGCAAGAGCGACCCCCTGGACGCATAAACACTCTCCAGTGTAGCCAGGACAAGGGCTCTCGATCGTATTGTCTTAATTTGTTACCGATTCGTTACATCGAGTAGGCTGCGCGGGGCTGGGAATTGTTTCGTAAACGCTGTGCTAATTGTTGTCGACAGTCGACGATCGAAAAAAGGGGGGCCATTGTTTCAAACGATTGTTGGTTATGGTTTTCAGCGCGTTTAAATGAGTATTAGGTCGAAAGAAAAGGTTCGATTCGTACTAGGTACCTACCAAGCAACAAGCGAACTTTTAGCTAGGGTAAGTTCAAACTACCCCGTTCGATGGTTTATTTTATAGGTATTTAACACCGCATTACAGTTACAAATCCTGTTTCACTTGTCTCTATTCTGACCTTAATTAATTTATGTACGAATTCAACCTCTAAAGATCTGCGTAAACTTATGCAACCAAGTGAACAAAATGTAGCTGCAGTTATTACAGCGATCCGCGATTCACTTGTTTTCTGATTTATGAGCGTGGAAGTTGGAACACCCTAAAATAAGTGGCGTTTTCTGTTTAAATTTTGGCTTGGAAAATTATATCTGTATTTTAACCTACTATATTTCCTGTTCTTCAAAATGGGGTGCAAACTAGCTCGCCTCCACGTGGTGCACCCCGGGTAACGCTAAATGAGCTAGAACCGCGTTTATCTATATTTGTACCAATTTTAATTGACAGACCTGTACATACCACTACAAAAGACTTTTCGCTTTGATGGCCTTATACAGACCATCATAATGCACTAGCTTTGCGAGCTTTTGTGTTGTCCTAACGAATAGAGATCCTGTTTGCTCTTTTTATTTACTTTAACTTTGGCAGATGATATTTTCAAAACATGACGTAAATAGGTCTTTAATATATGGACAAGCTAAAGCCAGATTGCAATCTTAAGGCTGGTTTTTGGGTAGGTATACAATAGTAGACGAAAAGCATTCGATTTGGATTATACTTAAATACACCCTAACGATTCAACGATCGCATTCCTACATTTGCTATTTTCAGCTTTAAACTCTTATAGGCATTTTTCTGTTTCTATACATTATTTTTCCGTTAATAAATGTCATTGCTATTACAGAAGTGATTTTAATTACCCTTTGATACGCATAAATAATAAACTGTAATAAATATTGAGTTTTTCTTACATACTCTGCAAACTGGATTTGATAAAGTTGTTAAGTTAAAACGAGTTTTCTTGATAAAGTTATGTAATTATTATATGAGGCTAAAAATAGCAATCCATTTCAAGAGTTTCCGTCGTATAAAAGTTAGATAATGAAACTAGAATACCTGTACCGATTTATCTATTTATTACAGCAATATTTGGGATTAACGAAAGATCCTTACATTATATTATCATTGGAACACACCACTTGGCAAATCTTCTGATTTGGACCCACTTTTTTTGGATGTTTGGGTCAAGATTTTTCAAATGATACCTCACCCGATGGACGAACAAGAAATTGATCTGACCTTTGATCCACATTAGCAATAAACCTCATAAATCTAATCTACCCTACCAAACTTACAATACATACCATAAACTAGCATAATCTAGGTTAGGTTGACTGTTCAAATGTACTATTTGTTGTCAAAATGTCTTGATCTAAGCTTTCTAAAAAGGTATCACTCGATCTCCAATTCAGCATGTTCGAATCGGAAGGCTAACCCATCAGATGTCGGCTTTGCTTCAACACTTTGATCTTTTGAAGGTATAATATTTAGCACAGTCAAATTTTGCCTTACTGCCCGAAAAGGTAAAATTAGAAATTGTTCGAACCCCATTAAAAAATGTCCATCCAACCACAAAATTTGTTTCCTTCTTACAAATCCACTGTACCGTACATGACCAAATTATGGGATTAGGGCAGCGTCCAGAAGCATTTCTACCACTACATTTTGTAGGTACTTACGGTACACTATGTAGGTATACTCTATCTGGGTAGATACATTAATGCTCAGTATTGTACAGCAAATATTTCGGTCTTCAATTTAAAAAGACGATAAAAAATGACATGTGTTAATAAATCAATATTGAAATTGTAACCGTTTATTTTTGATGGACTAGTTGATAACACAATATTGATGGCATTTCAGAATTCAACTTAGACTAATCAAAATAACGATGACATCTGTAGATGGCATAGTTTTTATTATTTCTACTAGATAAATATTGAATTACATTACCGTTAAAGGAATGATTATCCCCATATCATATCGAATTTAATGATATAATTAGAATAATATGAAATAATTTTAACAATCTTTTTCGAATTTCTAAATTGATCTTTCGCGAGCATAGAAGTGACTTCTTTTTATTGAAGGTGACTCGATCCTGCATTGTCCTCTGCTTTATCTGACTTCCTAGACACCTAAACTCAGCCACTTCTTCTAATTTTTCGTCTCCTATCTTTATATTCGCTCTTTCCCTACTTTTTCCTCCCTTGTATACCAGTATTTTTGTTTATTTTCATACAGTATGTTTTGTCAATACCGCTTTAATTTTATTTCTAATTCATCGTTACTACTACTGCTATATCATCTGCAAATCTAAGCATACTAATATTTTGTCCCTGTATATCTACCCTTACAGTTGTACTGTCTTTTATGATATTGATTGCGTCTTCGATGTATAGATTAAGAAGTAGCGGTGACAGTGTGCATCCCTGTCTGACTCCCTTCCTAATATTTACTTCTCTACGTTCTAGCCCCAGCTCTATAACTGCCTGTTGCTCTTTATGCAAACTAAATATCATCTATCTCTGTAACTCATCCCTACATTTTTAAGTATATTTAACATCTTGTCCCATTTAACACTGTCAAAAGCTTTTTCTAAATCTACAAATCCTATGTACACATTCCTAGTGTTTTCTCTATTGTTGCATTATTTTTACATTGAAGAAGATGCATTAAACTAAACTTTTTTAGAACGAAAACTTAATAACACGAAAGAAAATTTAACATTTTCTGTATTACCCAAATTATTATTTTGGCAGTGTACTGATGTTACAGTTTGTTTCGCCCTGTATTTTGTTGCACGGTTTTGCGTGTTTTGAGTGTAAATATAATTCCCTGCGAGTGCGATCGGCTGCGTATGCCATCTAAATGTTGAGATGACATATGCACTAGGTTTCAATGGTAGGATTAACATGAGGGCAGCTGTGCAAAAAGATCCCTCGTACCAACAAGAGAATGCCCTGGGCGCCCGTTGCCCGACCCCCTCGATCGTCCTGTTTCGCGCAGCAAATTCGCCCTGAAACGGTCCCGTTCGATGGGACCGAGTAATGAAGTTTGGTACAAAGTGACCTGCCTTTTCAACACTGCATTATTAAGCCGTACTTTTAGCTTTGGATGTCACCGTCACGACGTACGTTAGACTGGGTACGATGGGCGGGATGATGGCACGGGGCAAAGGAGCAGTCTAAGAACAGTGATTTAGTTTGTCACACCGCCATTTTAGGACTCATGGCCACAATGACAAAATGTCTAAATTGGACAGAATGAAATCAAAGTACGGGGCTTGCGACTTGAATAGATCGCTTAATAGGGGAGGGGAACAGCGAAATTCTACCCTTAATTGATGAAATTATTAGGGGAAAGAGTTTGTTTAGTTTCTTCTAAAAGAAATTGTACGAAAAGGAAAATTGTAATCATTTTTAGAGTTTAAGTGAGACAAGGTCATAAAGTTGAACCTTTCATAGAGGTTATTCACTTGTCGATGTCTTCGTTTTATTCAAATAACTTTTTTTGACCGGTATAAGCAAGATCTTTCAAACCACTTATGCTCCTTTGACATTTGAATGATTCCTCATCTACTTGTTTAAGTAAAAGTGGTAGATAAATTGTCTTTATTCGTAAAATTTATTTGTACTGTACATATCATGCTTACCATTTCTAGAAATTACTTAAAACCACGTGTAAGTGATTGTCTTAATACCTACATCATACGTACTTTAAATATTTATACACTTGTAGAAAATATTTTACTGCACTTCATAAACCGTCGAATAACAGTAAGTCCATTTTTTCAAGCACATCAGTCTATGGTGTATTAAATTTTCTGCTGGTTACCCATAATAGTTATTTAATAAGAAACGTCATTATAATTGTTGGTATCAGCTCTTCTAGAATACGTTCTTGGTTGTTGTTCGTCATAATAATTGGCGTTTCTTCCAGAATTCCTTCTTGGTTGATCGTAATAATTATCGTAGTCGTTAGTATCTTCAACGGGTGACACTGATTCTGCCCGTTGGGGAGTCCGTTGGGCATTTTTCGTAGCGTACAATATTGGCCTTGGTGGTTGACTGTTTCGTCGTTCTTGATATTCTTGGATTTCTTCTACTGCAGGTGGCGCAGGCTGGCGATCTCTTATTGCAGATTGTTGTTGTTGTTGTTGTTGAACGTCGTTGTAATTGTAACCGGGGGTTGCCCTCGAACCGGCGTTGTAGTTAAAGTTCACTTTTAACCCGGTTGGATCGGTGTAAGTGAATCTGCCATGTACTTGACCGTTTGGATCGCCCCTGGCTCCGTGGGCGATTCCGTCTTCGGTACGGTAGAGAAATCCGAAAGAACCTTCTGGAGTTGGTAGATCGCGACTGTCTTGGAGGATTGTTGGATTAAGCCTTTGGGATTCAACCGGAAGGATTATGGGCACTATCAGGAGGAGTACCTGAAAGTAGAATCAGGAATTAGTTGCGTTTGTTTGGTTGTTGTAGTTCATGGAACCCATTTCATGAGATCTTGGAAATTCTTGGATCACCATCAAAACACTTCAATATGAAAATGTAAAAAGCACCTATTACACGAAGAAAATGAAAAGGAAAATTTACAATTTATCTCACTAGCCCATTTTTCGTAAGCGAAAATAATAAAAATTACAGATTGACCCGAATTTTAGTTGATATTACAAATTAAATTGTAATAATTACGAAGCTTGAAATAATTTTTAAAAAACATGTCAAAATTGAGATTATTACAAGTTATTTAATAAATTCTACTATTTCCGCGGCAAATTCAGTAATTTACATTCGAAAATTGTAATTTTTGCATTGTCATGAAAATTTAGTTTTCTCTATGCAGTATCGTCCATTAGCTTTTGAAATTTTCCTTTCTGGAACGTGCTTAAATCAGCTTTTGTTTTAATTTCGTTTTTACTGTTTTATAATGTTTACAACATGTGTAGCGAGTGACACATTCAACTCATTAGAAGAAAAAATTAGCAGTTCTGTGTAAACTGAAGTGATTGCTATTAATTGAACCGTTCGCCGCTGTTATGTTCGGAATGCGATTTAAAAAGTCGTAATTTCAAAATGATGTCAACTCATAAAATTTATATGTATGTATATCATATGGAAAAATATGAGGGTTAGGTTTGTTACGTCACTATTAATAAATCCTTTATTAACTAACAATATGCATAACTATCAATAAATAAATATGAAAATTTACGTTAGTGTAAACTTTCTAAAGCGTGTAAGTAGATGATTGATTATTAGTATTGGTTTATACTTTTTCCGGTGTTCCAATTTTAAGATAGTTATTATTAAATTGAGGAAATAGCTACTTTTACCGTATATATTATGTAAAAAGATCTGTTCCCATTTGTTTATTAAACTTGATGGTTGTAGAATGTAAAAAATCCGTGTTGGTAAACAATATTTTGATAACAAATTCATATCCTGAACCGTTCTATTTAACCTGCAGGCATGCAATTAGTAAATTTATTACTAATGATACGTTTATTTACCAGTAACATACGATTACGGTTTTTATTGTCAGTATTATAATTATAATTAATAAACAATAAAATACAACGCAAAATCAGAAAATGTAAATAAAAAAAAAAGTAAAATTTGAAAATTCATTGACCTAGGTACTAGGAGTTATTATCGTATTATCTTATTTAAGAATGATAAAAAGGACAATCTTTTAATAGTCATTAATTTTATTATATTGATTAAAGAATAGGACATTAACTGCTAAAATTGATAGTAATTATTGCTTTTGAAACTAAATCGGCAAAGTTAGAAACCAAATCGATGAAATAGGAAATCAAGTTGAATTAAAAGCTTTGAAAATCTTTTGGGAAAATTGGAATTAAACGTAAATACTAAGCGGGAAATTTATCAAAAGATTTTTTGGAAACTAAATCTAACAATTACATAATTTGACAGGTTAGAAAAATAAACAAATAAAAATTTGCATACCCAAATAAACAAACATCCTTGAATATCCTTTTCCATTTTCATTCACAAATTAGAGCAAACAGAAGCGACCTGCAGTTTATAGCATCCGATTCAATTGACAATAACTCTTAAGATAACGCCGCGACTTTATCGACAATACCTTGTCAGTATCCACTTTTATACGGGGCGCCGCGTTACGCAGATGATATAGGCATGTACGTGCATACATGTATGTATATATGCACACCGTAGTTACCTCTATATGTGCTTAACATACCCACCATTTGACCGCGCCTGTTTCAATGCTGTCTAGTTTGTCCGATTAGAAAAACATTCCGATAAACAACGAGCCATTCGTGTTCGTTATTATGTATTAACTAATGCATTTTCACGCACGGTGGAAACGAAAACTAATTAACTTTGTACTTACATACATACATACATGTCCCTGTTAATAAATAACGTCAGCGGCGACTGGGGTATAATCTTGCAATAAGTTTAAAAAGGTTATGATAATTAGAAATGTTATATCCCATTTGATAAGTTTTCGGCACAATGTTATCGGTTCAGGAGGGCGCCTATTCGGAACGCCTTCGAAAAGGATCGAATAACATGTATATAGTTAGGAAATTCAAATAAAATTGTCGCATTTATCTTCTTCTTTCAACTTAGTAACTTAACTAGAGCGGTTGTTGACAGAACGCCTACTTTTACACAAGACAGACGAACATCGTCAACATAGAAAAGAGATGCCAGGCACGAATTGCAGCGGGCACTAATAAAGAAAAAAGAATAACATTACACCAATTGATGTGTAACAGAAAGAGATGCAGACAAGCAGAATTTAAACATGTTTCCAGCATCGGACGAAATAAAGTTCAACATTCTCAGGAATTTAGGAAAGCAAAGACGTTTGTTTAAAAATATAATTGCAAGCAGATAGTTACTTAAGCAACCTGTAACCGCTGCACCGCTTACTATCATTCGGTTATCTCTTTTCATTTTATTGGTACTACTCATGAAGCATTTCCCAAATTAACAAGGGTGTGTTCAAAACGCAGCAAATGGCTACAGTCCCCAGTGGAAACAAGACAGACGATATGTCCATTCTCACATATAATTTATTGTGGACTTTGGCAGTTTTGATGGACCCGACTATGGGTGGTTGTTAGATTGGTAAAATCGCTCTGTAAAGTGGTTTGCTCTCTGACACTAGTGAATCTAATAATTGTTCAGCTACTAATTTTTTTGGGGTAGCATGAGTATTAATTAGGCCACTGGAACATAGGTATTACATTCACAGTGAAATAGAACCACACCAACAAAACAAATGAAGAATTTTTCAGCAAGTCCTTTAGAAGCTGAAACTCCTTTGTTCTCATCAGCACGCCGTAGATATCTCAGATAAAACATAGATCAACCTACTTTAGAAAATACTTTGACAAGTTGACATCTTTTTGTCTATAAAAAAATAGTCAATTTATAAATGTCGTTTCGTAATTTGTTTCAAAAGTTCAATCGGTACTGTGTCAAAATATTTATGTGCTACCACTGTGTACAATATAATAACACTTATTCTTTTATGCCTGTGCTATTTTACCTATAAAGGTTGTGTTGGAACGCGATTTAAATGATCGATTTACTGTCAATTGACCAGTAATAAAACGTAAACACTGTAATTGCTACTTGGCCGACCGTTTTATTAGCAGAAATACCGAAAGAACAAAGATAACAACAGATATTTACAATCCTTTTGTAGGTTTCATTAATTTGTCCATTTGTTAAGAAGAAGATTGAAGGAAAAAGAAGAAGTAATTAGTAATTAGATAGTCACCTAACAGCACAATAATTATCAATTGTTAATAACATAATTATTATAAATTATAAACGATAATCAAAACATCAGAAAGCATATTTTGTCCTTTTTTCGGATTGGTAAATCGTCAGTTCTTCTTTTTTTTTTTGTTGCAAAAACAGTGAAAGTGTTGTCACATAATCCACCATATTATCAAGATATCCAGGTTGTTCCGTCGCTATTCGCCGAAACGTTTGTTTTTTGTTATACTTATAGTTTTTAGTTATATACACATTTAATAATATCTTATTCGATTGCTTTTGGTTTTAACTGTACATTCTTTGCATCCTAATTTACATTATCGTGCATATTACATTTGAATCTTCTCTTGGAATTCATAATACAATAGTAACCTATTCAATGTTTACCTGACTCATCGTTAAAATCATATTAGGGCCGTATTTTCCTCTCATAACCTTTTCAATTGTATCTATCACATTTACCTGAAATGTAGTCATTTGCTGTAAAGTTTTTCATACTAGTTTCTAATTCTATCTCTATCCATCTTAAATTGTTCTTCTCTTTCTTGTTTATTTAAATACATGTCCAAAATTTTCTAACAAGAGTTCATCAATATACATCAGTAAGCTCGGTTCTCAATAATACGCATTTAGTTATTTAAGTTACAATAGTTGTACATATTTTTAATTGTGAATAGTCTCGATCCTTTAATAATAAAACTAGTAAAAAAAAGGGTGTAAATTTTATTAAAGGAAAAATCATCAACTAGCTGTACAATATTAAGTTGGCGTACAGCAGAAGCTGGTATAAGTCAAACACCGACTATCCTGCTTCAACACAGGTTATTTGCAGAAAGCAATTGTTTTTCTAGCTGCGTGCAACTGTTTACTAACCTGTACAGTATAATACCTGCATGTAATTACTAAATATTCTGTCATTGTATGCTAATGAAAGCTCTCTTACACAATTACACATAAAGAACCTATTACATACAAGGCATTTACCTTTAACCGATATCTCACGTAATTGAACTTATTGCCTGCTTGATCTAATTAATACCATACAGCAAACACCGCTGACTTTTAAAACACTAGCAGGAACTTTTACTTTGATGACTTTAAAGGTATTTTGTTGAAGCTGCTATAAACGTATTAAATAGAAAAACTAAATCAATGATTTCAAATGAGGTATGATGACTAAACTAATTTTTCTATTCCTCGGGAACAGTATTATTTTTCGGGATAAACGATAGCCTATGTCCTTTTTTGTATCTCTAGCAATGTGTGTATAAAATTTCATGGTGATTTGTTGACTGGTTAAGGCGTGAAATAGTAACAAACAAACTAACTCACATTCGCATTTATAATATTAAAACTATTCACTTTTGTGTAAAATTACGTCCACAGCCCGTGTGATTTCTAATTATGCAAATTAGTTTTAAATCCGATTGTTGTTGGCAAAAATGTTTCGAGTAATATTCGCTACCATTTGTTGTTGGTAACCTTTTGTATAGTATAAATAACCATTAATGCAGGTAATGTTTTACAATGCACGAAATATTCCAATTGCACGAAGGTGTACGTATGTGATCAGTTGTTACCGATACACATAGGTAAATGCCATTTGAGAGACTTAAATACACTCATATGAATATACAGCATTACCGTTTGAATTATGAAATAATTAATTCGTTTAGGAATTCCTCCAGGTGTTTAGTTAGCGTTAAGGAACTTCCAAGGAGGTTTACTTCGGTTTCAACTTCTTCCCATGAGTTTAGCCTATGCTGTACAAGGCTGCACGTTTCTGCAAAATTCTACAAGAGTTTTGTTAACATTACAGTCTTGCATTAAGGCATTTTTTGTCCTTTTTTAATCGCGCGATTAACGAAACGACCGACTTGTATCTGCGGAATGTTACAGGATGTGTTTTTTTCTCTCCGATAACTCGTAAAACTTGTCCTTTAAATAACTAATTGAAATCAAAACGTATCGACCGAGTACATGCCATTATATATTAGACAAATTGATTTAAAATTATCTATGACAACAAATTAAATCAACTTTCGATCTGTTTGCATACAAATACTGAACGCTTGGTATCCATTATGCTTGATATTGAACCGTCAATACATAAACTACGTACTGACTTATTGGTTAGGTTAGGTTAGGTTACTTAGTTGGACCACTTGCATTTAAAAACTAACCTCTTCCATTGATAAACTGATTGTGATGAGCATAATTGGGCTTGGGTCTTGCAATCTTAGTCTGGACCAAGACTGTTTTCTTACTAGCACGACCAAGACTAAAACCAAGACGGAATATACAAGACAAAGACCAAATAGATAAAACTAAACGAAAGATTATCACTTCCTGTGGATTTATGAGTTAAAATATATGAATACTATATATATGAAACACTTTGACATTTAATAGTAGTTAATATCAAATATTAATCTGAAAATTCATTTTTCAATCTTTTATCTACTACAAACTACCTCAAGTTAGTGAGGAAAAATTTGTTGCCTCGCCGAGAATCGAACCCGGGACCTTAGTGGTCAGAGCATTGGTGCGTAAAGCCAAAGGTCCCGGGTTCGATTCCCGGCGAGGATGTGACAACAGCAACAAATTTTCTTTCATTTATTAAACATAAAAGATTGAAAAATGAATTTTCACATTAATATTTAAAATATTTGGAGCAACTTTAGTATATTTTGTTCTTGTAACAAACCATTTTTAGTATTTGAAATTTTTATTTTGCTTTACTAGATTTTAAGCAAGCAAATATAAAAAAAAGAAACTTTACCACTGTTTAAAAATAGGGAAGAATTATTAAGGTAAACGTAAGTGACTTAACACGCAAGACTAAGACCAATACAAAGACTAGAGGTATTTAAGTAAGACCAATACCAAGGCCAAGTAAGCAAGGTCAAGACTAATACCAAGACTGGGGAAGTCTTTGCTCATCACTATAAACTGACCCTCGTTAAATACTGGACCACCAAATTATACTGACTGTACAGATTTGCATACTGAGCCTTTATACATATTACCCCAATTTAACCCTTTAGAAAATTATAAAACTTCTATCCTATCTATTCAAACCGTAGTTTTGTTAAGTGTTTAACGTCGGAATTGTTTTTGGTTTCTTTAGAACAGAGAAAAAACCTACTATATAATAATTTATGATCATAGACGATAACTGTTATTAATTGCTGTAAAAGCAGGTCTATAAAACGAAATTACTAACTGCGTATTCTTAACTACATGCATAGACGTATGTTCTAGAAAATATGCAAGGACGAAATGTAGTAATGAACTTGAATATAGGTAAGCAGCGAGCTTTCTAATAAACATTCAATTACTTCTTATTTAGTTGTGAGGAACGACTGAAGGTAGTTTACACACTTAGAACGGACGATTTGAGTGTTGCATACACAATTCGTGAGGGTTTCGCGCTTGATCCGACGTTGAAGTCTCTGAAAACTTATGATTTTAAAACGTTATGCAGTCTCGCATTCTATTAACCTAGTATCTCATTTATTTTGAAAACATATTCTTTATTGTTCTCTCTATTTGTAAAAATCAAAATTTTTGGAAAACATTTCCCAAACCTTTTGAAAATGTTCAAATTAGTTGAATTCAATTAATATATAATCGATAGAGATTAATACGCGGATAATCTTATAGCTTCAAACATTCACAAGGACGTTAAATATTCCCATCAAACAGGCTGCATGCATCACTGATAATATTTTGCCTTTTATTATGACTTCAGAGTGGACTATTATGAAATAACTTCACTAAAATGGCCTTGTAGACTTATCACGATCTAAACCTGCTTATGCCAGTTATAAAATTGTGCTTAATCGCATTAATGCGAACTGATACTCAAATTTTTTTAATGATCTGAACCATTTTGTCAAATGTCAATGAATGATGATGGGTATAACATATAAAATGTTTCACAACAACCAAAAATGGCTAATCTTAACTTAACTGTAACTCGCACGGCATATTTCTCGTTAGATGCAACTGTAGTTTTATCTAATAAAAGTACAGAAATAATTTAAATGATTCCATGAAGTAAAATTCTGTGCGTGGACGTGAAAAGGGTGTGCTTGCTTGTAAATATTATTCACTACCTACGATTAATGTTAAATCGCTAACTTAATTTCGAGTTTTTTAAGTAGTCTAATTAAGTAATGCAGTCTTGCACTTGAAGAAGACCTTCTGTAAATTTATTACTAGATATTTTTGGTTGCAGTGCTCATAAAGTTCATGGCTTATTATTTATTAGCCGGAGGTATTATCTATACGATTAGTGTTAATATCTTATAAATATGTTCTATTTATTTACGGTAAACGTTAAATAGCAATGTTTAGTTCATTCTATGGTATCTCTGCTTTTCTTTATTTATTTTAATTATTTACGTTTCATCCCCAAATATATCCCAACAAATTGGATAATAACGAAAGCTTTAACAGAATAATTTTCTAATCAAAATCGAAAATATTTTTGAAATAAAAATTATTAACTTATTGCTATAGTCATTTGCACATAGTTGACGAAAAATATTTCCCCTCAAGGTATAAAAATTATTAAAATTGGGGCTTTCTTTTTTTTTTTTTCATGAAAAATTTTTATTGTTTTGCTAGAAAGCGCATTCTGTCTTCAGTACTTTCGTTAATTATAAAGTAATTTATTATGAGCACTAATTATCGCGACGGCTGCCAAATTACTTCAAAATTTGTTTGTTTATTACTAATATTACAATTATTACGTGGCTTTAGGTCACAAAGCAAAAAGATACAAAGCAATGTGCTTAAAGGTTTCAAGAACTTCGTGCCGAAACCGTAAAAGTATTTAACAACATTCATCTTTCACAACTGATGTTTTCTTTAAAGAAGAAATTTCGATCTCGTAGCCGCCTACGTCTCCTATTGCGACACAATAACACGAATCGAATAAAAGGGCAGATAAATAGATAATAGTAAAAGGCTTAGAAACGAATTTCTCTTTCATCTGTTTCAGTCGGAAATTACGAAATCATTAAATTATGAAATTTTATCTTTATTTAACGTTAGTTAAGATCGATATTGTTTTTTACACATTACACACGTCTAGTAAATCCATCCCATATTAGTTGGTCCAGTCTCATGAATTGTCGAATTTCGTTATTTAGAAGTAAACCACTAATACAAATTTAAAATTAAAATTGCTAATTGCTTTTCTCTAGCAAGTTTAGTGAATTTTTATTTTATTTTCATTTTGTAAACTAGAAATATACTGCTATTTATTATTTATTTATTTATTTAAACTTCGCCTCCTATAGAGACATACAAGATGTCTACATAGTTTTGCAAAAAATAAACTAAATTATAACTAATATAAAGAAAATTAAGATTAAATAAAAACTACATCGAGACTAATCTAATCTAGTCTATTTGTTACATAAATACAATCAACAATGTTTTTGTGGATTTTTATTGCTTATCGCCTGCAAAAGCAGTACAGAATTAAAATCTCAGCTGTAAAATATATGAGTTTACCTCAAACTATTGTCGGAAGTTAGTTAATATGCAAAAACGCAGCGATAGAATAAATTTTAAAGGAAAAAGCATTCTTTTGTTTCCTAGAATATCACTTTTGTTTTAGTTTTTTAATTTTTACTTTTATGTGTAATATAACCAAAAAATTAATAAAATAAAATTAGTGGATCAACTGATAAGGGACGAGACTCGTATGTTTGGTGAAATATGACTACAAATCGTTTGTTATACTGTGGTATTTATAAATGATTAGCTAGATAAGGTGGAGACTGGCCACCAAATGATGAATATCATAAAGATATTAATTAAAAAAACACTTAATTGTTGTAAACAATCAATAATTACCTCACTACAGTTACGGTGAATTGTAATATCAAACTTATCATCTTCATGAGTTTATAATTGCTTAACTGTTAGTCACAAAGAAAATGAAAAGTCCGTTCAGTTTAACAGATTAGATATTAATTTAAAAACGTTAAAAATTTAATGTTGGAATGACATTATTTGTCCAACATCTTAAGATTTATTGAACAGAATTAAATGATTTGTTTTGTATATGGTAAATGAAACTGGATTCGGTTCCTGTCTTATTTAAATAATTCGCTTCCTTCCTGAAATAAATTAAAATCAAAAGGAAGTGCCCTGTGGGAGGGTTCGGTGACTCCCAACAGGCATACTCCAGGGTCGGAGTTGCCAAGGTTACCATGTTGGTATAAAATCCGAACAGCACCAGGGCAGGGTCAGTATAGGTTGGTGAATGGTGACCGAACAGCACAGCAACATGAATAGAATTGTAAGTTTTTATTTACTTTCTTGTTTTGGCGATATCCTAAAAATGTTTCGGTTCAAAAAATCTAAGGCCCATGGTGCTTCAGTATTTTGCTTTTTCTTTATTTTTTGAAAAAAGGTGGTTATAATTAACTTTTATCTAACTAACAATTTTTTTATAATCCTTGACGAATGTCCTTCTTTTCATAAGTATAACATTACCTAATATTAGTTACATGCAAAAAATGTCATATCAAATTTTTAAGTTTCAATACATAAAACAATCGAAATGAAGCAATAAAATGATGTTTTGTTTTTACAAAAATGCATCACCTCTTGTTTTGTCGAGTTGTACAGAAACAAATTCAAATCGAAACAAATTCGAATCGAAATAGAAACAGCAACCAGTGATAACAATCGCATCGCAACTTTCAATTACTATTGTCGTTTCTTTGTTTCTCTCGAGCAATCAATGTCATACGACTAGTTCCTAGTAAAGCAAAAAATAAAAATAATATGCAGCACATAAAGAATTTTCGTTCACATGTAGGCGCCGTCCATTTCACAAATGAAGAAAAAAAAAACCTGGTCACTCCTGCTCTTTGACTAGAATTTTATTGTGTAAAGTGAAAGTAAATAACTGCAGCTACAGAAAATACATTTTAAACAAGTCAAGGTATCGCAATTGTTATTCATGTACATATCTGGCTAATGTAATTAAAGCTGTATCGTAGAAAGGAAGATTAGAACCGGCATTTTAACCTTTTATCGATTTAAGTAGGTACCTATACAAAACACGATTTGAATTATTTTAATTTTGTAAGAAACCTGAAGAGCGAGTAGATAGATAACTTAGAAAGGTAAAATTTCTAAAAGCATTCTTGTTTTGTTAGTTTTGCTTGGCGTTTCTGGTTGCCCTTGTGGGTGCCCAACAATATGGTGGTGACCCCAGGACAGCCGCCATCCTGAGCGAGCAACGTTATCAGAGCAATGATGGTTCCTTTGGTGCCCAGTACAAACAAGAGGATGGAGTCCAGTTCAAAGAAGAGAGTCTTCCAGACGGAAGCCGGAAAGGCACATACTCCTATGTAGACCCTTCGGGACAAACAAGAACGATCTCCTACACCGCTGGAAAGCACGGTTTCATCGCTTCAGGAGACGGAGTTCCCCAACCCATACCGACTGTACTGCCCGTAGCTCCCCAACCGCAATACAAGCCGCTGCCGCAATACAACCCCCCAGATTACAGGCCGCCCCAGGACGAGTACAACCCCCCACCACAACAATACAACCCACCACCACAACAATATAACTCACGTCCCCAACAGTACAACCCCCGTCCACAAGAATACAATCCGCCACCTCCCCAGTACAACCCTCGTCCCCAGCAATTTGAACCGGCTCCACAACCCCAATACAATCCTCCTCCCCAGTACGAACCAACAACACCTGCCCCCCACAGGTTCTATCCCCCTGGTAAACTTTCTTTGAATAGGTCGCCTGACGGTTACAGTTACAATTTCCAAAGTAACGTATAATAATACGTTATTGTTGCTAGGTCAATATGTAATTTTTGTACTTTTAATGCATTTTCTTACTTAATAAATAGTTATTTAATTATTTTTATTACAAACTCGTTTGTTTTTACTAATTAGGTGAAAGTAGTATCACACACGTCCGCGTCGAAACCTTGTGCTCATGTTATTTCTACAAAATGTGGGTAATTTCGAAAATTTAAATTTTCCAATGCATTTCAGAATAAGTCATTGATGGAAATTTGTTTTTTTTCCATCTTAACAATTGAATAACTTTCTATTGTTATTCAAAAATTTAAATATTGTTTCTGTTGACCGTTATTAATATGAATACGAAGAAATTGAAGTCGGTTGGTATGTAATTTAGGGATTGGTATTATAAAAAAAGAAACAATATAACAACAAATAAGGAAATCCGTAAGTTAAATGGCATTTTTGCTGACCCCGCAATTAGAAACACTTGGTAATATTCAAGAGAGTTGATAGAATAAAGTAGACAGCAAGGTGTGGCCGAACGTAATAATGTAGTACATAGTAAGTAACATTTTGTCCACTTCCAAATGCTACTTTTATAGAATTCAGGGTCAACTTTGCGTTAATTTTGTGCAAGAAATCGTTTGCTATTTGCTTTGAAACCAACGTTTACTATTTCACCGAACGAAAGTATTACACATACGTATATGCATGTATGTACTTACAAAAATAACAAATTCGTAATCAGTCAACTGTAAACCATATATCTTATATAATATTTTTACTTACATAATTAATATTCAATATATTTTTATGAGTCCGTTTTAAGACGCCCTAAAAATCTTTAAATACACAGTCTAATTATGAATCGATATGCCTAAATAAAGTTGCGAATTCAGTAGCCTTAATCTACCAGTTAGATCCTAGATCCTCATTTGTTTCTAATAAATTAAAAAAAGAGTGATTTTTCGAAAAGTAGATGTTAGTTTTTTTGGCGTTCCTTGTAAACCCATTGAAAAGCACACTAAGCTTTCTCAATCTAATTTTTCTTGATCAGAATAACCCTTATAACAGTTGACTACTGCCCATAAGTCCAGAAAAGTATACTATTCAGGACGATGACCGTGAAAAGCTAACGGATTTCCTGGCTCATCAAAAACTGTCGTTGCGTTTTTGTTTTATTATCTACAACAATTCTTTTTGTCCTACTGTCTATCTAAATCTCTTGTTTCCTGATACTACGTCGATTTTTGACTTCTGTGAGGCTTCCTCTTTTAAATATCCCTTTTGTTTTTATCATTTTTGTATTATTTGAGAGTTTCAGGCTCTCCCTTTTGGTCAGAAAAATTCAAAAAGCGGTACTGCCCAATGCACATTTAGAAATTTGTTTGTCCTTATGGTGACTTTGAAAAAAGAATCATCTCATTTTGCAATACGTTTATTTCAAATTTTTGTCACTAACATACGTAATTCTATCATTTATTTTGTGTCTTAATTATCAATAAACAATCACAGCGAATAATGAAGAAAACTGAATGAAAACAACAACGTCCCATCTGTCTTTATTGTCCTGAAGGTAAGGCGGGCTGACTTTGTGCCATCATCCTTTGCATTAGCAGCTGGCAAGGCAAAAGGGGTGCAGCTTTAGGAGCAGCGGTTGGGTAGATTTTGTTTCCCTCAGGAGCTGCTGTAGGTTGCCAAAGATACACCTGTGGTTGTCCTGAAGATCCTGGAACGCCTGCTTGGGCAAGTTGATAAGGATAGTTCACGTTCGGGGATGGAACAATTGCCCGGGGATTGGGAATGCCGGGCCAGGTCTGAGGTGGGGCAACTGGAAACTGATTGATGGGTACAAAACCTTGTGGAGGGTAACCCATAGATGGGGCTTGAGGTATAAAGAATGCAGGTTGTTGAAAGACTGATGGGTCGATTGCAAGAGGTTGCTGAATCAATTCTGAACTGTTTTGCGGTAGAGCGTACATAGGGAATGCTACAGTCTGGGATGGTTCCAGAAGAAACGTTCCTGACAACTGGTAATTCGGCAGGAAACCGTCTTGGCCATGAACACTTACACCGCATAAGGCTATCACTAAGGATAATGCGAAAATCTGAAATAGAAATTTCATATTTTTTATAAGCACAGAATAAATCATATGATAATTAAAAACAAAAGGCTTTATAAAATAGCACAAATGGTGCGGTAAACGCCATCTGTAGTACAATGCTACATTTTAGGATTACATATGCTCCAACAAGGTCCATTTAAATATACGGATATCTACTTGCTGAAACGAATCCCGACGTAGCTAACCTCAACGTGATAGGCACGTTACCATAATCGAATAAAATAATTCGAAGTGGTCTGTATTCTGTCGAAACTGGCAGACGCGGATCGCGATTTCGATCTTTTCGGATCTCATCAGCGCGTCGCAGACAGCTCTGATAGAACACAGACCAACTTTTACCTGCTGTCTTAACAGCGCGTTTTAGAAAATACCACAAACGGCGCGGTAAACGCCATCTGTAGTACAGTGCTACGTTTTAGGATTACGTATGCTCCAGCAAGGTACACTTAAATATATGGATATCGACTTGTTGAAACGAATACCGGCGTAGCTAACCTCGACGTGAAAGGCACGTTACCATGATCGAATAAAAAGGCTATATTAAAAAAAAATGAGGACCCAATCACTACACATTACTTAAAGTTCTAATTCTAAATCTTTAAATTAAATAGTTTGATGAAGCATCAACAAATCTTTAAAGAAAACCATGATAAATAAATACTTACTGTCTTCATTTCGTCTAAGATATAAAATAAAACGCAGATTTGTTAGAAACACTTGATTATACTCTCAATTGACGATAAGTAATTGAGTGACAAAATTTCCACATTTTTCACAATTTATTACAGAAAACAGAGCTGGAAATGAAGAAGGGGTTAACCACAAAATTATTCTAAAATTAGTATTGATAACGGTTCAATGATCAATTAAGATATCGTACGTTATTGAATGAATTAAGTCATTACTTTTAATGTCACATGCGTGTCATTTGCGATTTCATATTACGCAGATAAAACAAACGGTAAAATTTACCAAATGTTGTCGCAGAAATAACAGTATCTCTATACAAAAAATATAGGTAATATTGTAAACATTCTTTGTAATAATTGTAGAAAAATGATGAGTAGTTTTACTGTATCTTTATGATATTATGTCTTTTATCGAATGTGAAACCATCTTCAAAGAATGATAATTAAGTTCCTTTACGGAAATTTAAAATAAATGTAAATAAATTGATAGAGTAAAGAAACTGGTAAAGGCTTTCGTTGCTAGCAAAACGTTAGGAAGCATCTGCAATCGACAACGGTCTTTAGACAGCATCAGTTCAGAGTATTAGGGTTTTTTTTGAGGGGAAAGATACCCAGCCGTCTGTACGACTGGGTAGTGTCAGATCCCAGAGGAATATGTCCTCAAATCTACCGACTAAAACCCCTCTTCCTTAGGTCGTTATAGGATCAATAATTAAGGTCCTTTTCAGCCAATTGTGGTTATCCAGGTAGTAGAGGCATGCATCAGCGAGGTCGGAAGTGGTTGTCAATAATTTGAGAAGGTTAAAGGGGAGTATTAGAATTTAACCCTTACTAAAGATTTGTAACTCCGCCATTGCCGGTCCCAAGCCCGGATGAGAAAGGAGGAGGGTGAATTTTTTAAGATAATGTTGTTAAGTTATAACTGTGCAATTAAACATATACTTAAATTTTAAATAAAGCTTTTTGAGGGTTGATCGTCTCGGCGAGTTCTTTTTTTCCTTATCCTCTTGGCAAATAAGAAAAACAGTAGAGAACTAGTTTTTATTGTTATTATTTTATGTAGTAAAATAATTTAGAATTGTATCTGTTGTTTATCTTATTTTCTTTTACTGCTGGGGTTAAATAAATAACAAACATATTAACGTAGGAGCCTCTAATGTATTTAAGGCTGTACTCTAGGCCCGTTAATTAATTAGACTTGGATAATACGTGACTGAACTTGATATTTTACAGAAATTCATTTTTTGGCAATATTGATTTGCTAAAATCAATTTTCTACCATCGTCTGTTAGTAAACAATTAATTACGAAACTTATTGCTAACCAGGCTGTTGTTTATCAAGAATTATTTGTTTGTTTGGTACACAATTTTTTATACGTACGAAAGACGTAAATAAATAAATCGTCATAATAATTTGGTATATTCAAGAAGTTTTGATAAAATATTATACTTTAGTGAAATATGTTTGTTTTGCTTTTGTTTGATAACTGTACCATCTTGTTTGTTCTAAATAATGCCAGTTGTTTGCCATTTTGTTTTGCAATAGTGGGTATATGGAAAATGCAATAATAACATGTATATAATATGGTTTAGTTAATTTTTATTTATTTTACTACTTTTGATACAAGTTTACAATTTTTATTACACATTTTTATCTTTACTACTTAAATTTCACATTAACATCTTTACATCACAAGTAGGTTCTGGAGCCTTTCTCCACCATTGTCCATTTCAAATTTCGTTAAGAGGGTGGTTCACGTTTTACAATGTTCCAATTATTTCTTCCTCTATAAACTTGTTGATTTAATTTCTTCTCTTCCACCCAATGCCATAAAACTGATATTGCAAAATGGACCAATACATGGGAAGAAAGGCAGAACTAGTTGACCAGAACGTTGTTATGAGTAAAAACGTTAATTATGTCAGTCTCTACTGCCGTGGTGCCAAAACAAACTGGTTTTGCGCAGCCGCGTTTTGTCTCAATAGTTGGCAAGGGGTAGCTGATGCATCGGGGGTTGCTGGGTAAACTTTGTTCATACCAGGTTTCATTTGACGAACAATGAACAATTGTTGTGGATTTCCTGAAGATCCTGGGGCAGCAGTTTGTACAAATTGGGGATAGTATCCAACAGCTGGTGCAGCTGGAATTTGTTTGTTGATAGCCCCGGCGTCATAATGGGAAGCGAGCGTTACTTGAGGATATGAAACTGGAGTAGCCTGTTGTTGATTGAGAATGGTATAGAATTGAGGGTATTGTTGACCCATGTATGGTGTTTGTATTTGTTGAGGTACCAAGATGTAGGGAACACTGGGGGCTTGTTGCTGTTGTTGTACGAGACCGGTGGTGTTTTCTGGTAAAACGTAAACGGGATCCATAACAGTTTGGGATGGAGCCAACAAGAAGGTACCAGAGAGTTGATAATTTGGACCACCATTTTGATCCTGGGCGGGTTGTGCCGCGGGTTGTTGTTGGACAACGGCGGGTTGCTGCACTATTTCCTGACCGAAGGCGGTGTTGATGTTGAAGATGACAACGGATACGAAAGACAAAACTACGAACTGAACAAGAAAAAATATGAATTTTAGTTATCATAAAGATTGTTATTCTATTGGTACTCACCATGTTCATATTGTTTATCGTGGTTAATCAGATAGATTAGTTTCAAAGAAGACAAAACCCGTTGTTTTGGTGGTAGTAGAAGACTGAACCGAAGTGGATTTTGAGATGCTGTTTTGGGAATTCCGGTTGGCTTTTATAGTACCGACGAATTGACGTTTAATGACGCTTTTCCCACTATCCCGACCATTTATTCTCGGAAACGGAACCGAAACGAAGGAGGGATTGAAACCGCGAAATTTTTTGCTAAATCGGTTTGTAACGGTGATCTTGCCAATTAAGACAAGACCATGATCATGAATGCAATTTTGTCAATTATTGGGCTGCATTTTTTATACCGATTATAATATTCGAAATGCATTTAATTGCGTTATTGTACGGTCAATTAGGTGTGTACAAATATAATTACCGAAGATATGGAAATGACATGTACTTGTCTACTTATAATTAATTAAGTATATGACGGATTAGATTAAAACGCTAATGCAAAAGTGCTTTGAAAAAATGGCTGAAAGATATTTTGACACCAAATGAAGATATGATCATCTGAATTTTCTTGCTATATGTCATTTTTCATTAGGATTCAAATATAAATATAAGGATTATATTTTGAATCCAAGAAAATAGTTAAATTTAGGAAACTGAAGCTTTGTTTTAGTTTAAATCTTCTTTCACATTAAAATTTTACATTGGCTTTCTTCACTGAATGAGTGTAGAAAATATTAGGTACTTTATTTTTAATTAACAATAAAATCTTTAATACATGTATGTATTATTTTAGAAGTATTGAAATATTTGGCTTTTTGTGTAGTTTTTCATATAAAAATTTCAATTTGGGACATATATCAAATTGATAAAATTTAATGTTAGCTAATGACAATAAATCGAATACGTAATGGGATTCTTAGTATTTACATATTTTCAAAACGTTTTAAT